CCTACGATGGCCACAGCAGATCTACAATCGGTCACATTCGGCGTATTGCCATCTATCGAGGAACTGTTATCGTTTATTGTCAAGGCGCCGTTGCTGTTGCTGTTACTATTTTCTTCTTGACGCTCGATAATCTCCTTCAAGGCCTTTTGTCTTTTATGACGATCCTTTACCAACTCGGCAAACAGACTCGTTTCACTAATCTTTTTAATGTATTCCTCGCGCTTGTGCTTCAGATCTCGCGAGGCTGGCGATCGACTGAGTGAAGCTGAACTACCGCTGCTGGCCGAGCTGGGCGAGCGTTTGCGACTGCTGGTCCTTCTAAGACGCGACTTCGGCGAGCGACGATGATGATGGTAATGGGAGCTTGAAGCACCAGCTGATGATGGCGGCGATGTCTCAAAGTAGCGCGAGCTTGCCCTCGGGGATCGCGAATACCGATCGGTGGAGGTGCCAGTACCAGAGGCGCGTTTCGAGGACCGTGTCGGCACGGACGTGGGTGAGTTTGGTGTCGTGTACTTGTGTTTGTGACTATTACCATGCCTAAACATATTTGAAATGCTTCCACTGGAGGTCATGCCGCCAACAGGCGATTGCCGACCGCGTGAATGCTGTACACTAGGACTCCTTAAAGATTGAAAATAATGATATGATTACTGTTCAACAAATATAAGCAAAGTCCAATCCATACCTGGATCCACGCCTTGAATATCGCTCTCTGCTATAACGATCATATTTAGTAGAATGGTGCCTGCTATGCTCGAAGCCTGACATACTCATATCCCTGCCATCGCTGAACTTTCGTCGCTTGTGGGGCGGTGTACTCGGCTGATGATTATAGCGGTCTATCTCTGAAAATATTTACAACAATTAGCTCTCTTATCGCTCATCGGCCATCTTATCGCTTCAGTGCACCTGAACACTGAATAGAACAGCTACACCTACCCGGAGACAAACGTTTAACTTTTCTCGCATCGAGACTGCCGCTTGGTCCCGTGCCCGAAGAATATCGTGGCTGATATCCATGATCGTGGCCAGACCTATGGTGCGCATTTAGATCGTCTTTGAGTGGACTCTGTACATATCGGGAGCTGCGTGAATCACGTCCATGAATTCCCGCTCCACCACTGCTACCGCCCGAGGTGGTGTAGAGTACTTGTGGCGGAGTTCGAGGAGAGGTGCCATAGCGTGGTCCATTGCCGCCAATGCGTGGGGGAGAACGCAGGCGATTGCTCGTCTTATTGGTAACAGTCACCTGGAGATTGGTTCCCAGCGAAGTGTTGGGGGCATCACCAATGGACTCGCCATAATAGGCGTTATTACTGTTTGGACGCCGTGTGGGAGGCGGAGTGCCCGGGGATATGGGGCTGCTTTCCTTATGCGTGTGAGGTGTGTAGGAAGTTCCGGTGCTGACTGTTCGCTCGTTGATCTTATTCGGAACATTTGGCGGCGTGTATCGTCGATCCAGTAGGGCGTTTATGTCATCCGACATTGACTCAATGCTAGAATACGATTTGGTCCTCTTTTTCTTACGCTTCTTCGACTTCTTCTTTGATTTATGTTTATGCTTGTCCTTCTTCAGCTTCTTTCGTTTCTGTCGCTTCATTTCCGCCTCCAGTTCATCTGTGTCAATGGAATCGCTAGACATGTAGATCTGTCTACTCCAAAGTTCGTCCTTTGATGTTTTAGAAGCTTGCGCCTCCTCTCGATTATTCAAGGTGTCGCCTCCACCAGTTGGTCTCGATCCAGACACCTCAAGATCGTCAGTTTCTTCAGTCCGCCTTTTTCTAACAGAAAAAAAGTTTCACTTAAAAAGATATGTATGGTATGCACATATATTACCTATAATTATCATAGCCTTCCTTTTCAGGCTTTGTAGCTCGACTACTCTTTGCGAACTGATTATCCGACGGTGGCTTTGGTTTCTTTGCATTTGTGGTGTCACATCTGCTTGTCAGCACTGCGTCTGAGTCAATTTCTCCTGCTTCGGGATCGGAAAAGTCCTCTGAGCTGACATCCGAGTACTCCACCAGTGCTGTCGCAGCTGCAGACGATGCATGCATTTTTGCGTCCTTCGCCTAAGAACTCAAAAGGGCCGTAGGCACACCACCACGGGTGTCTTCCCGCTGCTTATTTATATTGTCAATATTCGTTGAAGGTATTTTATCCACTGCAGCTCTTTGGCTGTTTTTTCTTTTTGTCACACTCGAATTTTTCGTGAAAACACCATCTAAATATCCGCCCTGTCTTTTATTTACAATGCTGCTTTGATTAACCACCACATATCACTTTGACTTTTGTTTTCACATGATTGTGATATGTGCCATTGCATGAAAATCTATAAAAGTAGGCTAGAAAATACGCAGTGCCACTCTGCATTGATCTTTGCGGACATCTAAAGCTTCGAGTCCGAGTCCCCTAAATATAAAATCGAAAATAATCACTTGTCATTTTAAGGTTATAAAGAATGGCCGAGTGTGACCAAACATTGAATATGAAAAATTAAATCGTCTACAAAAAAAATAACGATAGAAATATTTCAGCGATAAATAATGTTGGACATCGTCACAAAAAAAATAATTTCATATGAATTTTGAATCACTTTGAATATAAATTTTAATTTATTATATAAGAAAAAAAAATAACATTTGTATATTCACTGCCTTCTACTGTTGCATTACAACATATCTCTATGCAATTTTTACAGAATACACTCTATTTGAACACAGTTTAAAGTTAACAAGTTTTCCGATATCGATATTGGTCAACCCAACGAAGAACAACAACAAAATGCACTTAAGACCAAAATATATTATATATTTTTGATAAAAAAAATTCAGTTTTTTACGAAACACATTTTATAGCACTGTTTTTACACTGTTGCGCGTCGGTGACGTATGTAGTATGGGACGTATAGTTGTGTGTGTAAAAACATATATATGGCCGAACACTTGCACACAAGGAAACTTGCATGCATACACATGTCTTATACAGATGTAAGAACGGATATATGGGTCATTTTATTGTTCTACGGTGTATGACTTACCAGTTTATATGCATTAATTATGCAAACGCCACTTTGTGAAACGCACTAGTACTTTCAAAACCAATTTCTATTTACTCGGCATTGTGGAGAGCGAACACGCACTCGTTTGTCTTGTAAATTATTAAATAACACGATTATCGGTAAGCCGAGTCGTACTTGTTCGCTGTTTATGCTTTCAAAGTACGTCTTCTTACATCGCGACTATTTCAATTGCTTATATATTGCATAAAAATGTATACGAAAATTATTCGCAATGCAAATTACATGTCTCATTAGGCATTTTTCGGCATTATTAACATAAGAAAAACAATGCCATTGGAAGTGTGGCCGCGGATTTATCGTTAAAATATACCATCCGACCCTCAGAAATATACCAAAATATACCGTCTCATTTTGAAAATATACCGTAAATATACTGACGAATTCAAGTTCTATACTCCTCGATTCTTATATTCCGTGGAATATTACTAGCTATCTGGATCTCTCAGCAATGCCCACATAAATTTATCCAATTAATGAATCTATTTTCTACTTGATTGGCTTATTTTAAATACTTCACTTTGATTTTTGTTGTCTCAATTTGGTTTCTTTAACAACAATATAGCGTCTCGTATGATAAAAAACTGAACTTAGCCCACTTAAGACCCCTCTATTTAAATAGTTCAACTACTTGAGGTAAATGGCGGAAAATATTATCTATTGTAAATTCTTCTTATAGATTCTTATAGAAGTGCGCTAAAATTATTAAATTTTCATTATTTTCAGTGGAATACTAAAACACCCTCTTGGTCTACAATGGGTTAATGGTTCTCCGTCAAGGTTTGGAAACCATATTGCTAATTTTTTATGTTCCGTCGAATATTATTAGCTATATGTAATATTTAGCCATGCCCACATAAATGTATACGATTGATGAATCATTTTTCTATTTAACTGGCTTATTCTCAATACTTGCTTATATTGGATTTTGCGTAAAAAGGTTATAGCGAAATATGTAGGTAAAAAACAAAAAAGGTTTTAGCGAGATGGGCAAACAAGACAAACGAAGAGGGTCGTTCATATTGATATATTCTGATATTCGGTCGAATATTACTAGCTAGAAAGAAAGCCCAGCTATGCCCACATAATTTTATACAATTAATGAATCTATTTTCCACTTGAATGGTTTTTTATAAACACTAGCTTTTGTTCGATTTAGTCTAAAGAGGTTTTATCGAAGAAGGTAAAAAATAAAAACTTAATAAGACGTAAGAGAAAAAATCGTGACAGACATTTAAACATAATTCTCTCTGCCAGGCGTATTTTGATGTGTAAGCAAGTCCGGAAAAAAAATCTGCCGTGAATTTTGTTCATGTCTCGGTCAAAGTCGGTTCATGAACTACCACCATTTAAAAGAGGGAATATTCAAACACCTACGAATGGAAGTTTCTATACCGAATTTTCTTTAATATAATATAAAATGAAACTTAACAGATTGATGAAATATACCATTATATATATATTATTATATTTCGACGTCAAAATATTCAGAAGTGTATATAATAGACCGTAAATGGTCACAGTATATTTATGACGTCACGTCACCCTGAATGCCATGAATTTCTGCATTTGCAAGGGTACGCGATAGTATTTAATTTTCGAGAGTGCTGTAAAATTCAAACTTCTATTGTATAATCGTGTTATTAACTATATACCGGAAATATTATGTAAAATATACTAAGGAATTATTATGTTTAGAAAAATTATAGTGTTTGGATCCATGTATTGTAACAAATAAAAGAATTAGCTGATCGTCAAATAAAATACAGCACTATTTTATACAACTTTTTATCGGCGAATAGTGTTGATAAGTGAACGTAGGTCACTTTTTTCAACACTATTGCTGGCGTTCTCTTTCAAAATTTTCGGCTTGTTTATTTTTTTATGTAGCATTTGTGGGAATTTATTTCGAAAAGTGGTCAATCTAAGTACTTAACAAAGTAAACTATGATGTCCACTCGAACTTTCGGAGAAACAATTGAGGTGAGCAGACTACCGCCACGCAATGTGACTATCAAATGAATTTTCAATTGTTTGCGTTTGTAGGAGTACGAGGTACAGCACTTGTTGGGCAAAGGAGGCTTTGCTAGCGTTTACAAAGCAAGATGCCTGCACTCACATCAAGATGTGGCAATCAAAATGGTAAGTGATACACGTATGTGTTTAAGGAATATCTTTTAATTGGTGTACCCATAGATCGATAAGAAACTAATCCAGGGGACAGGACTCACGAGCCGTGTTCGACAGGAGGTTGAAATTCACTCTCGCCTTAAGCATCCTTCTGTGCTGCAGCTGTACACATTTTTTCAAGATGTGAATTATGTGTATTTGGTTTTGGAGTTGGCCCACAACGGCGAACTGCAGCGCTATATGAAGCAGCACCTTTTACGTCCCTTTACCGAATCCGAGGGGGCCACTATATTGAGGCAGGTGGTGGCTGGCCTCCTGTATTTGCATTCCCACAACATCATGCACCGTGACATTTCGCTATCCAACCTGCTGCTCAGCAAAGAAATGCATATCAAAATCGCCGATTTCGGCCTCGCAACTCAACTGAAACGACCTGACGAAAGGCACATGACGATGTGCGGCACTCCCAACTATATTTCCCCCGAGGTAGTTTCCCGATTGTCGCACGGCCTGCCAGCGGATGTTTGGAGTGTTGGGTGTATGCTCTATACGTTGCTGGTGGGGCGACCGCCGTTTGAAACCGAAGGTGTGGAATCTACGCTCAACAAAGTCGTGATGTCTGAATTTATGATGCCATCACATTTGTCCTTCGAAGCCCAAGACCTAATCCATAAGCTGCTCAAGAAAAGCCCACACGAACGCATTACTCTTGAGCAGGTCCTCCGGCATCCATTTCTGAAAAGAACGGTTGGTGGTTCATCGTATAGTACAACGCCTGGCGCGTTAAATGAATTCAGTCAAAGTCTTGCCAGTAGCGATAGCGGAATCGTAACATTCGCCAGCAGTAAGTAATGCCAACTATAGATCACTGTCCGCAGAAATTGAATAATAATTCTAAATCGTTTTGAAGGTGACTCTAGGAAATCGCACCGGCTTCGGTCTGTCGACAATTCTTCAGGACAATCAATGCCACAGATAATGGAAGAATATTTGCCGTCGTCTAATCTGGGCTACGATTCGAAGGAGCATCGACCTATTTACGAACAGCATGGCTCATATCTACCAACACCAGGCGACCAGTTGGAAAATAGAGACGCCAAATGGCCAGGAACAAACAACTTGGCACCGTTCACATCGGATAGCGACATGATACCGTCACCTGTGGGTGAGAAACGTCTCTTGATGCCGCCATTAGAAACGAAAAGATTGCAACCGACGCGTTATAAAACGAAAAATGCTATAATGAGTATTTTGCGGACTGGTGAGGTTGTCTTGGAGTTTGTAAAGTTTAAGGTCAAGTACAATGAAGATCGTATTACTGATATTTGTCGCATATCTGAAGATGGACGCCGTATTATAATCTATCAGCCGGATCCAGGACGGTGAGTACAACTACAAAAATAAAGCCTTTTATATTGGTTTCAGCTAACATTTTTGTTTCAGAGGCTTACCAATAAGAGAACACCCACCAGATCCGCTGATACCAAGCGAGAACTGCGTGTATAATTACGAGAATTTACCGAATAAACACTGGAAGAAATATGTGTACGCTGCCCGATTTGTGGGCCTGGTGAAGAGCAAAACACCGAAAATCACTTTTTTCAGTAGCCTTGGGAAATGCCAGCTTATGGAGACGATGACGGACTTTGAGGTTCGCTTCTATTCCGGAGCAAAGCTATTAAAGTCCTCCACGGACGGGGTCAAGGTGTTCAATTCGAATGGAGCAGTGCTTTCGGATAATGGCTGTGCGGAGGCACGCAATTTAATTGACCACGGAAATGAATGTTTCTCCCATTGCGTCAATATCAGTAATGCTCTGGAGCTCGCCCAGACTAAAGAGAATACGTGTTTTCCTGTCACAATTGGGCGACGGCCTGCCGCAGACATGCACGCGGGTCAACGTTTCGATGGTCTTAGGGACACTACAAACTTTGCATACTCCACTCCGAAATCAAATCAGGTAAATCGCTATTTAATTCAATTTCTAGAGATATTACTCAAACATTATATTCCTATAGGGCTCAATTAACTTTTCCGTGAGCACCATATCGACGACTCGAAGTGCCTCGGACTACAATTCAAATACACCGCGGCTCAACATGTTGGCTGCGCACCAAAATGTTCCAATCAAACGTATCACCGTTCCCGAAATTGGAATTGTTACGGAGGTACGATTTTTCACATTTTATTTTGCACCAAATGCTAATTTTGGAACCATTTCAGTTGTCCCATGGAGTTGTGCAAGTGCAATTCTATGATGGATCTATGGTCTCAGTAATACCAAAGGTGCAAGGAGGAGGCATAACTTATACACAGGCCAACGGTCTGTCTACCCATTTTGGCAACAACGACGATTTGCCATTTGCGGTCAGAGATCGAATCAATCAAATGCCACAGTTGCAAATGAAGTTAAAGTGCGCTCCATTGTTGGGGAACGCCAGAAGTGTAGACTGCCATTTAATGACGCCCAAAACGACAACGCCTTTTTACAATCGCATGATAATTTGACAAGTTGTGCATCTGATATTGATATGTTATGTTAAAAACACTCTTCGATTAATATTGTATTATAAAATAAAATTAAATATATTTTTTAATGTCTTCAACTTTTGTGAATTTAAAACTGAATTTTTAATCGTACTCTTAGCATAGCCAGGCAAAGGCTATTCTAAATTATCTATAAAACCACAGACGGAGATCCTGTACACCTCTATAATGTTACATTAAAAAACGTTAATCACTTTTCAAAAAGTTGACAGATTTAAATTTAAAAAATGTAATATTCGTGATGGGAGAGCAGCTAAGAAATCTTGTTTTATTTTATATGCCTCAGCCATAACTAAAAATAAAACGTTCAGATCTATAAACAAATCATTTATTGAAGTGCTTAGTGTTTCAAAATCTAGTTGTAAAGTTTCGGGGTTAGCATTGTACGTGTTTTGTATACATATTACTATTAGAAAAGTACAAAATATTTTATTGTATATACTCGTATGTATAATAAATGTAAGATTAATGTGTGTTGTTTCATTGTCAGATATCAAAAGTGATAGACATATGTTGTACGTATTTTATGAATATACATATAACTGCGGCAACCACAAGAAAATGCCTCAGATGGATAGATGCACGGATGGATTTCATTACACTAATGTACTGGGTAAATTGCCTTTTTAATCAAGTGTATTCAGCAATTCAGAAGAATCAATTTGAGCATAAAGTATTTATCAATTTATTGTGTAAGCTATTTGAAATAAAAGCATAAAAATACATATTTGATTATAAAAATAATAGATGTACGAAGCTTAATTTAATGGACGGTATAAATAAACATTTGAACGGAAAGCATAGGCAATGATAAAAATGAATGATAAAAGCGACAATGAATCAAATGTGAAGAAAATTCAACTAGATTTTAGTTATATTTCGAATTAATTGCTTGGTCATACAACTATTGTCTAACCAAATCAAAATGATTGCCAATAACTTGTCAAATTAATATAAAAAAAATGTATACATCAAAATGTGTACTCTTAATATTAGGTCTAAAAAAAATCTTAATTGTATCGTGTTGGCAGCATTGCACTAGTGCTGTGTTCGTTGTAACGTTTGCCAAAATGTCGCTCTCAAATGTCGCTTGTCTTCTCTTTAAGCTCAAATTGAATCTTCTGAAATATGTCCTAGAAACGATCCTTGGACGTAGCACTGTACTCCAGCTCGTTAAGGTTTTGCATTTCCTGCAGCTCTTGGAACTTTTCGTGATCACGTATGTGCGCATAGTTGGCCGAGAGGCACATGAGATAATGAACCAGGCTAAGAATGACTAAAAGGGTGGACAGCGTGGCCAGTATGAACATAACCTCAGCGTTCTCAACACCATCTTTACAGAAAGCCTTGATCTCATACTTTTCGCACACCTTCATGTCCTCAAGTTTGGTGTTTGGTGGGAACATAAAATCTGTAAAAATCATTCGAGGAATCAGGGAGTTTACTTCGGCTTTTGGTTGTGGCCAAAGATATGTACTTACGGAATTGTGTCAAATCTATGCAACTCTGTGAGTGCTCGACACTGGAGCACATGTTCCAGAACATGGTATATATGAAGGTAACAACAACCAGGAAACAAAGAATAAGACTCCACACGAAATTGAGCAGGTACGTGATGCCCATAAGTACGGCGCAGGAGATCCGGCCTCCAACGCGTGACCGCCAGGCTCTATACACCTTATAGCGCGTGGCGCCAGTAGCCAGAAAGCCAACGAAAAGTATCATAAATCCAAGGGCTGCCATGCCAGCTCCAATTATTACAAATATCATCTGCACAGCTTCGATCCTGAAATATTAATAATGCTTAAACATGCTGCGGATAAATGGAATAATGGGTTAGGCTTACCATATTAATCGCAAGTGAAATACTTGGTCTACCATTATGACAGTGAGCGATGCCCCTCGGTACATGGTGAAACAGAAGATACCCACTCCCAGGAGACACATCAGAGTGGCTATCATCGTGGCGTAGGGGATACGTGCCATGCATGATTGGCAGCAGTCACCTAAAAGGAATTTCAATATATTTTTATTAAATTTAAACAAAAAAGGTATCTTCCATTGGTAAAGGAACATACATACGGAATATGTGTACGATGAAAGTGAAAGATAGAGTTTTAAAAGGGTTCACGATTTCAGTAGACTCAATTTATAAACTCGCATGAAAATTCTTGTAGCTCTACTGATTGGAATGATTAGCTCAATAAAATCGTATCTGCGGTCGGCAGGGTTTTTAAACCACAAAAAAAACCCCTTCTCAGTGAAACACGAGTCGAGTGCCGCGTTTTGCACACGACATGTAATTTGTTTTTTTTTTTGTAATATTAACGGACATTGTCTTTCGCAGAATTAGATTCTGCAGTAGTACTATACTTTCAATGGATTCTTTAATTTGTTTGAAAAGGAAATATTTTTGAACAGAAACAAACCGACAGACTCGGCCAATTGTTCAGACACGAATAGTCAAACAGGCGTCAAAACAATAAACAAATCAGTAAAATATATTGACTTTACTCAGTGCTCGTGCTGTGGTACATCTTAAAATTTTAGCTTTAAGAGGTTCACTTAGGTATACAATATATGGTGTATAAAGGTGCCATACGGAGGAAAAAGGTTTATCTTAAGGGAATATATATGTATGTATGTATGTACTAGAAATGGATAAGATAACAAAATGTAGCACGGGCAGAGGTGATAGCCTACAACAGAGTGATTCACTTAAAGCTAAATAGTACTGGTATGCGAGAGAGTGCAGCAGTTTCTTGGTGACGTATTGCCACAGAAAAAAACAATGAAAATTTGCGCAAGTGAAATATAAAATTGATTTGTGAAACAAAACCAATATACATATCCATTGACTTTGTCGTACCTTCGCCACCACGCTCTGTGTACCTATCCAAGGAGTGTTCCGATCGGTACGAAGGGCGTCGTCGATTTTGTATGTTGCCCCCATTGTAGGGATTGTTATTGTAGGCACGTGTAAGCACACCACCGTCATCTTCAAAGTTCGTCTCGAGTAGGATCTCCTCTCGGGGATCTCGTATGCGATCGCGATCGTTCATTTTGCCAGGCATATTGCACAACGGAATCTTAATTTGATCAGGCGCTTGTAAAATTCAGAAGTTACGGAATCGTTTTAGCTATTGTCAATAAAATTTATAAGTTTAAGCTGCCCTGCCTGCGCATGAATCACACAATCACAAAATCCGACGTCATCAGAGACATTTGGTTTCGCTGCCTTCCGGATCAGCAGATATACGAATATTAAAACAGATACCGATCTCGATATAATTAATAATATTTCGAGTGAGCATGGAACGACAACCACCTGTCGTCGCCGTAGCAAAGAGCAAACTCAGAATGGTCGTTCGTTCAGTTCAACTCCGAAATGTTTCTCAGTCGACCGCGACTGATAACTTTGCTCTGTTAACTTTTTTCACTCGGAACCGAATGTGACGCTTTTCCCGTCAGTTTCTCTCTATCAACGATAAGTAGTTACGGGTATATGTATAAATATACATACATATGTACATACATATTTGTGTTGTGTGGGTACATATATGTACACGGATGCGTACGTCGCTGCAAATTGGAAAACATTGCTCCCAGGCACAGGCCCGGCCCTCAATTGAATGAAACAGACAATTAATACAGTCTCCAAGATCGCTTGGATAAGTTCTTTTCTTTGCTCTGCATAGGGTCAATTAGTGTCAACATTAAGGGAATATACCAATATAGACTTGTATGTTCATGAAATTCAAAGGGAACATACTCATGAACATACATACATATGTACACATGTAAGTAGCTAGAAGGAGCGATCGTGACTAATTTACAAACCGATTGAAAAATGCAGCTTTAATGTTGTGAGCACGATTTATATAATCACAGCTGTTTTAGTATATTTTGAAGAGTAAAGAAGATTCACAATTTTTAACAAACAGGAAAGGATTTAGCTGGAGTTTCTTGTTCGGATTCCGATAAAGCAGACAAACGACAATACAACGTTTTGTTGAGGTAGCTTTAAAACTTAGACGCCTAAGAATCAACGTGATCAAGAATGTATATTATGCCTCTAACATAATTTGAGATGCTTATATTATTATAATTATTCATTTATACGATTTTTAGTTTAATTGAATCCAATGCATAATTTACGAGTCAACGCTCAATAGCTGAGTAGGTGTTACATATGCAAAAGTACATACATATGCATACAAAAGTCCCAAAAAAGCTATGTTTTTTGTTAGCCAGAATCGTATTAGTGGTTAAAATAATATGTTTGTGTGTTTAAGTTATTTGTTTACTTACCCATTTTAAACGGCGCTTGTTAGGAGCTTGGAAAGTAAATTTAGAGCATTTAAACAGTCCACTCTAATAATTCAAGTGCATACATGTATGTATGTACATATGTATCGCAATTTGTAAGTTGCATCTACGGAGACGCCTTCTGCGTATGTATCGCTTCAGTTGGTGGTATGAAACAAGTTTTTAAGGTGTGAGCCTAGGTGGCAGTGAGAGCAACCTGCGCCTTACAAATGGTAAAATTCACTCCAAATGCTTATAACACACTTATTGAAACCGTATATTATTCAGATTTCATATTGTTTTGTCACGTTTCTGGCGGTACAATAAATTTAAAGTCCTGAGATTCCGATTCTATTTTCAAAACAAAGAGCATAAATAAATAAAGTGTATCTACTCTTGACGCGTTTAAGCGGGGCAGTGCTGTAAAACGAATTAAATCGTTCTCTTTGGTTAATTGTCGGAAATAATATATCTAGATTGTGAAATTTGGTTTATTATAAGTCCTATAAACTAATATGTTTTCTCCAAGACTCGTTAATTTTAAATACTCTCTTTTATTGGATTGTTTATAAAATAGGACTTAAATAAAAAAGGCTAACAAAAAAGTAAATTGTTTACATGGTAGCTACACATTTGCTACATTTTTGTGTAAAATTGCATGTTGCTGGTTCACATAGAAATATGGACATTTGTATACCCTATTTCCAAGTTGCTCTGAAACAAATTTTTAGCAATGACGTTTTCTCAGATCGTAATTTTTCTGACCTATGCATGAGCATTTTATATCCGGATATCTTCTTGGTATCTTCAAGAACACAATGAATATGTTGATATTGAGATTTTCAATTAACTAACAACTCTAACCACAGGACGTATTAGCCAGCTAGTGCTGTAGTGCACTTCTACATGGTTTCTACATTTACAAATTTTTTTCAGTATCTAAAAAAGCTACAAGGTGTGCGACACAGAGAATACAAATGATATACATTGGTCACACTATTCATTTCGTAAGATTCTCCAAAACAAAACAGAAAATTTTATTAATATTTTTAAAATATGCTGACAGCGTTTAGACCTAATTCGCCAACAGCAATTGTCGTTGTAAGTCATAGAATAAATAGAGGTTTATATTTTAATTAATTATTAATTTATTGTCAATCATTTTGCAGCGTGCAGCATCTACAAATGCAAAAAAACTCGAGGAGATTCGAGAACGTTTGGCTAAAGGGCCAAACTTTCAGGACTTTGTCCAAAATCCGGATAATTTAAAGAATGTGGGCGAAAACTATGATGGGAAATTGCGTCGTGAGAAGGGAGAGGAGCAACGCTTGCGTCTGCCGCCATGGCTGAAGACCACAATACCAATGGGCAAGAACTACACAAAGATTAAAGAGCAGCTGCGAGAACTAAAGTTATCCACCGTGTGTGAGGAGGCTCGTTGCCCCAACATCGGAGAGTGCTGGGGCGGCGGTGAAAATGGAACTCAGACTGCCACGATTATGGTGAGGCTGCTTGACCCTGACTGATAACATAACCAAGCGTGCTTATTATGTACATATTTCGTTGTAGCTTATGGGAGACACTTGCACACGCGGCTGTCGTTTCTGTTCCGTAAAAACAGCACGCATACCGCCACCTCTCGACGAAAATGAGCCCGTGAACACCGCCAAGGCAATCGCGTCTTGGGGCTTGGATTACATAGTGCTGACATCAGTCGATCGTGATGGTTTGTATTCGTATTTCTAATGTGAAATACTTAATACTTAATTGAAATTCTTCATGTGCCATAGATTTGCCAGATGGGGGATCGAAACATATTGCTCAAACGGTACGAGAAATCAAAGCTCGGTAAGAACTTAAATTTGTTTCATAAACCCCGCTAACAATTATTTTTATAGTAATTCTAATATTTTTGTCGAATGTCTTGTGCCGGACTTTCGTGGGGATCTGGATTGTGTGGAAACGATCGCAAACTGCGGTCTGGACGTCTATGCGCACAACATTGAAACCGTAGAGAAGCTAACGCCCTACGTTCGAGACAGGCGTGCCCATTATAGGCAAACACTTCGGGTGCTTACCGAAGCAAAGCGTTTTAATCCCAATCTAATCACAAAAAGCTCCATTATGCTTGGCCTTGGCGAAACTGATGAAGAGATTGAAAAAACTATGACAGATTTGCGAGAGGCTGGCGTCGAGTGCTTGACCTTGGGTCAGTACATGCAGCCCACAAACAAACATCTCAAAGTCATTGAGTATGTAACGCCTGAAAAGTTTAAGCATTGGGAAGAGCGTGGAAACGATTTGGGATTCCTCTACACAGCTAGTGGCCCTCTTGTCCGCAGCTCGTACAAAGCTGGCGAGTTCTTTATATCGAGTATATTGGCAAACCGGAAAGCAAACCAATCGAAAGACAGTGCACCAAAAAACTAGATTAATTCGTGATATGTAGAGTTTTTGATTTATCCGAATAAGGCCTAGTGTTTTGATAGATTTGTTTTAAGTGTCGCCTGCGTATGTCTGCGTATGCATCGCTTCAGTTGGTGATATGTGTATATGTTTGTACACATATGCGAATATATTTATAAAAGAAATTCTAACAAACGTTGTTTATGTGTATAAGACATCTAATCACAAAATTATGTAGTATACTGTCTATATCTTAGGATCCAATAAAAGGAATCTATTCAAATACATTCTCAAATGGGAACATGTTCGTTAATATTTCATAGATATATAGATATCTATGTTCCGAATTGTTGCAGTTGTACCATAAAATTTTGGAGTACAGTTTACTGCGAGTTCGGCAATGGAGTATTGCAAGAGTATGGGGTACCTGGCTCGTAATGGGCTTCATTTTTATACCCGGTAGTCGAAAAGGTTAGGTAAATATATATGTATTAATTTTTTGGTGGATAGAAGGAAGCATTTCCGACCTCATAAAATGCATATTCTTGATCAGCATTAAAATCAGAGTCGATATAGCCATGTCTGTCTGCTCGTTTATGTTGATGAGCGCCTAGATCTCAGAGACTATACGAGCTATAGGCCCCTGTGGCATCTACAATTTTAAAGATACGAAGAGATAGATAAAGATAAAGATAAAGATAGAGAATGACCATATCTAGCATATTGCCAAATCTGGATCAGATCGGATCATTATTATAGCTAGAAGGAACAAATGATATTTCAGGCGCGCTCTCTCTCTCTCTCTCTCTAAATCGTGAAGTGTTCGCCCCCAGTCGGAGGGGAGCGAGATATAACGGTTGGTGTTGTTGTGGCCGAGATAGATCAAATATTTTAATATTATAATCAAATAGTTCAATAGGTGGCAAGAGAATAAACAAAGTGCAAGAATACACATTGGAACATAACTAGCAGTCGTAGTTCCTTCTCTTTCTGTCTTATGTTTTTCCCCATCTCTTATGACAAGTGCGAGCAAAATGGAGAGAGGTAGCGAAGATATCCTTCCTGCATTAAACTACAAATCCATTCCACCCTTTTGCGAACAGACATTCCAAATCTATGATATCTAAGAAAAAAGTCTAAGAGACAAGAAAAGGTTTGGAAATTTTGAACTGTTAATTGAAATGCTTCTACAAAATTTTAAGGAAAATGACAGTGACGGCGATGATACTCATGTGGTTAGTGGTTAGTATAGTGGTTATGTCTGTTTAAGACTATTTGAGGTAAAGAATAATACTATTTAATAAGGAACGAATGATCTCAAATAAAGAAAAGTCCGTTTTTGTTACTTTTTTATTGATGCAAAAAAATGGTTACATCGGTACATTTACGGCATTTTAGAAAATAAGACGGTATATTTCGGCATATTTCTGGGGGTCGGACCGTATATTTGATCTATAAATCTACGGTCACACTGCTGTTGGCTGGACAATTGTTTTGTTTGGTTTTTTGTGTGTGTAAAAAACAAAGAAATTGCATTGCAAGATGCCGCGCCTTATAAGCAGGCCTGAGCCTGCACCCACCTATTCGAATTTGGTAAGCACCTGAGCAAATAAATGGTTCAATTGAATTTTAAACTTGAATGCCCTCAGAGCACTCGAACGCTAGTATTGAGAACATAATAGGTACATATTACTTATCTTATGTATGTACATATTTATGAACCAGTATGTGTTGCCACAACCACAGTAATAGAGATAACGTCCACAGATCATAGCATAGTGTCAGATTCACTCATATAATATACTTGTACCATATATATTTGTACCATATGTCTTCGAATTGTAATACCATTTTTACCAACAGGTTGGATTTATATTCATTTTTAATTTAATAGTTGGAACGGGCGCATTAACTTTACCTGGAGTGTTTGCCAAAGCAGGATGGGTGTTAAGTCTTATAGTAATTATATTATTAGCCACAATAAGCTACATGACAGTTACCTTTATTATTGAAGCAATGGCTTGCGCGAATGCTATCAAAAATTGGCAAACTCTTCAGGCCCTTCGTCATCATAGTCGAAGCTCCGCAGAAAGCAGTGAAAATGATGATGCCTCTGCAGACGATCAAGGATCAGATCTTAGAGATCTCGAGCGAGTTCCATTGACCATTCAAAATGCTGAAAACCATTATTATCAGCTGTCACATAAATTCGAATTGGGCGAAATGGCGACAATTTTTTTCAACGAACTCGGCCGCATCATGTTTTTCTTGTGCCTCATTGTTTATCTCTATGGAGACTTGAGTATCTATTCTGCTGCAGTATCAAGGAGCCTCCGGGACGTTATATGGTAAGATCTTATGTAAACCTTAATTACCAAGAGAGCGTTAAACACTCATAATTTTAGTGACCAGACAAATGCTACAGATTCGCCAAACTCGAGACTGATGTTTTGGCCTGGGGACTTCAGGAATAATACAGCCCACGCGTGTTGGAAAGAGCACACAATATCGCGATTAAGCGTGTATAGAGTGATTTTAATTGGATTCACTCTCATATTCGGTCCATTTGCTGCATTCAGTATTCAGAAAACCAAATATTTGCAAATTCTCACAGCTATTTTCCGTTGGATGGGTAAGAAATAAGTTTATTTATTAAATTGTTAGCTTGTAAAGCATTAAAACTTATTCACAGCGTTTACTCTGATGATCTGTATATCCTTGAAACTGTTGATCTCAAGAGGACCCAGAGGGCACCCTGTAAGCTTTAATGTATATGGTATTCCCTCGCTGTTTGGCGCTTGTGTATACTCTTTTATGTGTCACCATTCACTTCCTAGCCTATTGGCGCCACTTAAGCATAAGTTGATGGTATCGAAAATACTTTCATTTGATTATACTATCATTTGTGCTTTTTATATAGTACTAGCCATGACAGGTATATTCGCTTTTGATCGGATTGAAGACCTTTACACACTAAACTTTCTTCCTTACGATGTCGACTACACAGACTTTGCATCAGGTTTACTAATAGGCATTGACTATTTTTTGGCACTTTTCCCTATTTTCACTTTGTCTGCTAGTTTTCCAATTATTGCGGTAACGCTGAAAAACAATCTTCAAACTCTTTTTCTAGACATGTCTCGCTATGACACCTATAGTCCGTTCGTGCGTATACTCTTCCCTTTATGTGCAATTATTCCACCATTTTGTGTCACATATTTTACGGAAAGTTTGGCAAGTCTTGTGGCATTTACAGGGAGCTATGCCGGGACTGGAATACAATACATTATCCCTGTCTTTTTGGTTTATTTCGCTCGACGCACTTGCTCAGAACTTCTGGGAAGTGGTATAGTTAATAGTTTTGAAAGCCCCTTCAAATCCAGTGCTTGGTTGATTTTTGTTATCATTTGGTCTATTTTATGCGTCTGTTTGGTAACCGTTAATATGGTCAGTTAAACGGAAGTCTTTCAGGTCGACCAATTGGTTAGGAAATTTAAATTTTGCCGCTAGAAGTTTTAAGAAACTACATTTAAGCGAAACAAATTTCGTAAACAAAATTTTACACAATCTTTTTATGTAGATTTGTATTTAACATTTATTAAGTAAGTCAGTATTGAAATTGGCTGTGAAATAAACGATTTTCGATTATATTAACCATATTATGCATACATATATTGTATGGTTTGACTTTATATAAAATTAAATATTGGAAACAATATATGTGACTTGACTCTATATACAATTATATATTATAAAGGAATAATTAACTTGAATTTATATAAAATTAAATATTATATATAATTTACTGTTGAAAAGGATAAAAATAAACAAAGTTCGTTTTCGTTTCAAAGCAGGTCTAAATCATTTTCAGGAATACCCTATTTGTATTCGCCAGCAAAGTTGATCGAGACATGAGCAACATTGTCCCGCAACATTTGAACGGATTCAGCAACATTCTCCATACATCCTTGGGAAAAAAGTAATATGGAATTGAGGAAATGTTGGTCATCTCAGGCTCCATGAGTGCAGAAAGTCTCTTATCTCTTATTTAGCTCGTCTCAACGAAATTTATCAGTTTATCGTGTTCTCACAGAGCCCTATGCATGAAAAGGAAAAAAATATCAATCTGAGAAAAAGCCATTATTAATTACGCTTCAAAGCAGTTTGGAAAACCGAATTTTAGCATTATTAAAAGTAAATAGGGTATACAAATGTCCACTTTCGTAGGTGAAACCGATTGGCCAGCAACAATGACGTAGCATTCCGACCACACTTACGTTTCATTCCGTACACACTTACGTTTTTGCTCTGACGTTTTTTGTTTTAAATAAAGGTTTATAAACGATCCAATTAAAGCGAGTCCTTAAAATTACCGAATCTTGTAGAAAATTGATTCAAAAATCAAACAAAATTGTGTGTTCAGTGCTAAGGGTCCTCGCTAGCTGGTAATATTAGTACGAATATAAAAATCGGGGAATATCAACGCAATCAGGGATGGCAGCGCTGCTGGTGTCGTGTGTCCACCAAACAACACTATTTTCGGCGCGGGTAGGCTGTAGGATTGCATGCGATTGCTTTGTTTATTCATTTTAAGAACGATATTGTTAAAAATGTCTACGTCAGTAGAGAGCGGCAAGGGCTCTCATAGGAAACTAGACCTAAAAGTGGAAAACTATCCAACATGTGCCGTGGAGGCACTTGCTCGCATAGGTAAGATGATCAAGTTCGAATATATTATTGCCTGTCTAATACTTTTTGCTTTGCAGAAACTCTAATTGCTAGCCGAAATAAACAAAATTTAGTAATGCAAATTATTTCTGAATATATTTTCTTGGAGCGGAATAAGGATGGAGACGGGCGAAAGTCGCAGTCGTTGCCGACTAGCCAGATGACATTGTTTCAAGAGTTTCAATTGATAATTACGCTCGTTGAATACTTTTCGAGGCCAGGACGGGATGCAACGCGTAATGCTATATTTCTATCCCTGTTTGGCAGTCACCTAACACCCCAACGTTCCAAGTTGTTGTCCAGACTTATAAGTACGGCAGTTTCTGGATCAGTGGCACCGCTGCTTTCCTCGGCCGGTACGTGGATGCAACAAGTTGGCTGCAAGACCCCACTGAGTCTTGAAGTTGCGCAAAACATTGTGAGTGATTTTATATTGTACTCTCGTAAGACACCCGAGCAACTGAAGCAATTGCCTATGGTTGGCCCGCATTTTGCGGCAAACTTTATGGTTGCTGCGGCCGATCTCTACCTTAATGAGCAGCGATCAGCCGCACTAATACCACCCCCGGATGCTCTTTTGGATGCGATTACTGAATGGATGACTGAGAATCCCACCTTATGTCAAGCATCTCAACAGCCACTGGTTCTGCCAGCTGGTGCTATTGCAATGCCATTCGCTACCCCGTTGGCTGGTCTCTTGCGATGGGTAGTACTTGCGCCATTGGTTTCCAACAGACCCACGTATAGCAACCTACATTTATCTGTCTTGCGAACGCTCCAACAACTTGTAACCAGTGGAGAGTCGACCGCTCTACCCTTCCAGGACTTGATGCAGATTATTAAGTCTTTGCAGAACTACTGCGCTCGGTTAAGTGAATCTAGTGTGGATCCACATTCGGATGCTGCGTATCAAAAGTGCATGGAACGGTTTTCGCAAGCTGTGCAGATCGCCCTTTGCTCCAACTGCATAACAAATCAGATTCAGCTCCTATGCGTATTAGAGTCATTGCCAACACACAAGCTCATGGACATCGTTATAGCTTCTCATAAAAAGCTGTAGTTGTTTATTCTTTTAGGAATACAAAATGCCACATTAATCGAAATTATTGGCAATAGTTAAATTTATACATTTTTTAAATAAATATAAACCATTTTTGAAAAGATTGAGTCTTTTATTATTAATTTAATTCGTCATCGATTTCGGGTGTTGCCACACTGGAAAAAGTATCATCATAGCGCGCATGACTAGGTTGTAACAAGGTGCAGGATACGCCAAGGAATTGTTCAGAAATCAATAATCATTTCAGTTTCAAACTTTCTTCTTAACGTGTGTTATTTTTTGTTCATAACAAAGCTGTCGCATCTCTCTGTTAGTGTAAAAAAGTTATACAGATATTATATGATGCAATGAATCCAGTACCGAGTCGCGAATTTTTGGAAGTGCATCCGCTTCACCAGCATCAACCGCATTGCAAGCAGCAATGTTTTGTCTTTACAGAAATATCAGATATTGAGCTTCCCGCGGAAATAACCAAGTTCGGTGGTGGCAACGAAAAGATTAGATGCAGCAATGGCGGCATTCCGTCTTACACCTCCAAAAAGGATTCCAGCAGTGAGCTATCGGGGGAGCGCCCAGAAAGGTCCCGTGGTCGAAGGATTCTGCTGGGCGTGGGCCTGGTACTCTTATGCATCGGCATGGCTGGTGGCATTCCATTGGCCTTACAGCTTCGGTCCTCTTCTCTGCTGGAGGCCCGCCTGTCATTCATTCGACGCTTGTTGACAGAATCGCCGCTCATTGAGGGATCCTGGAAGCCACCAACTACGACGAACTTGAACAGCAGCAACTTGTTCGAGGTGCGCCAAAATCACATAGGCGCAGTCCTGTGGCCAATTGCTGTGCCTTGTGGTGCGCAATACCTAGACGCGGTTCAGCTAGCTCTGGAGGGCATCGATAAGGCAAAACGGATTACTGCCGCCAGCGACCTAATGCATATCGTGGAGTCGGCCGATGAAATGGAGCAAACTCATATCAGGGGCGAAGTGGCTGTTCTGATGGGCATCAGTGGGGGCCATGCTCTGGGCACAAGTCTGGCAGTTTTGCGTTCTATTTATTTGCTGGGAGCCCGATTTGTCGCCATAACTAGCTTAGAGTGCACAACACCATGGGCAGCAGCTGCTATACGAAGGCGAGATCATCTCATAGAGGAGAATGTAACGAATTCATTTAACGAATTCGGAGAGGTGGGTACCAATCAGCAGATTATTCAGAGGAAGCCTTGCTTATCCAATTTATTGCAGAAAATGCTTCTTGAAATGAATCGCTTGGGAATGTTAGTGGAGATATCTCAACTTAGCGAGTCAGCGATGCTTGCCGTCTTGCAATCTGCAAAGGCTCCGGTTCTTTTAACAAACGCTACACCACTTTCTATTTGCAACAGCACAAGTATTTCTTCCATACCGGACCACGTGCTTAGGTGGGTGTGACTACATCATGATTTTACTTATCAGGAGTTCAGCAACAAGTACAAAATGGTTTATTTATTACAGTCTTTTGCCAGAGAATGGAGGAGTCGTTTTGCTCAACTTAGAACGGTGTGGAGATCGAACATTAAGCGTTCGAGAGGCAATTAATGCCATTAACTATGTGCGGAAAGTATCCGGAGTAGATCATATTGGACTTGGCGGAGCACCGAAGAGCTATGCTCTTTTGCTAGCAGAGTTGGCGCGGGATAGGGTGTGGGGTAATGCTGCTATAAAAAAGCTGGTTGGTGGAAATGTTATGAGGATTTTGCGCGAAATTGAGACCTTGAAGAGCCGCTTACCATTATATGAGGAGTGGATTCCACATGAGTCAATTGAAAGCAATTCATATTGTCGCTACCCAGAGTCTTGAAGAGACCAAATAAGAGTAAAGATTTGTTCTCTAAAATATATTTAATTACTTTATCGAAACACCACACCCGGAATTTTATAAATTTCGTAAATAATTTAGCCAGATGTATCGATGTATTTAGCAGAGAAATCGACTTTATCATGAGAAGCTGATTTACAAGCGTTTCGCTTCAATAAGGGTTACAAAAGTATTATTACATTAAAAATAGTTTTATTGTTTATTAAATAGTGTCAAACATCTTAACCAATTTCCCAAGCAAGCATATGGGGAAACCTCGAACGATTGCACCCTGTTCCTGTATTTTCTGTTCACAACAGACACTCAAACAAACTTCCAACTTAACTCTCAACATTAAGATGTGCAAACTTATTCGGGGTATTAAACAACTTCAATGAATAAAAATTAAATATTAAAAAATAATAGCCCAATGCTTATAGCCTTTATGTTACTTTCTATCCAAGTAGTGATTTAGAGGTCAGTTGGTCGGTTGCGCCAGCAGACTTTATCCGGCAGTCCGTGAAGTGTGTAAAGCTGAAGGAGTGGGTGCATCCCGGGTGGAGCTGAGAGAGCAGAGCGTAACCTGAGTCATGAGTCGTATCAAGGGTCGTATTAGCAACGGATGCGTTTTGTGCCACACCAGGCGGCAGCAGTTATGGAACGAAGCTCGGAGTGTCTGTCGGGTTGTAGTGCCGACCCGCTGTATATCCGGAGAAGCGTTATAAACGTTATAAACTCAGGGCGTTAGCTTGAAGTTCTAAAGGCGTGGAATTCTCATTCATGAGGTTAGGAAAAGAGAGTAGACGCCGAAAGTCGTAGCTCAGCCAACTCTAGGCCGGTCGATGAGACCAAACTAAAGGAAATTAAAACGAACAAAAACGGTTCGTTACAATTTGTACAAAGATTTATATTTAATGAATATCTGGCTAAGTAAAATACATATCGGTGTAAGATGGGTATTATAATAATATTGCTAGTGCTAGGTATTTAACTTCCATGACTAATTAACATTGATCCCCGTTCGAATACCAAGTGTCAGAGAAATCACTTCACTCTCTGATGGCCGTTCACTAAACTCACGCTTAACAATTCTTCTCGATAATAGGTCTTCCTCTTGAGCAATGATCAATGAATTTTCGTCGGCAGCCTTTAACTCCCGTTTAACTCTAGTTGAGTCGCTTTCATCCTCATCAATCTCAAAAATGTTATTATCGGTGAATGCCAATTGGTTAATTTCCTTAAAAAAAGAGCTCTTTGCATTACGAATAGTCCTGTCGTACCCCGGGTCACTCAAGGGCGGTAGATATGTAGCAGGAATACGACTCGTGCCTTTGTATCCGCTGTTGGGGCAACGTGGATCAATAGATCCAGGATAACAATAAGTAGGCGTTGTTGCGGGTGGCTGAGTGGAAGTAATCAAGTTATAGGAGGGTATCACAGTACTGTCCTGCTTGCAACGGAGGTCTGGCGAACCAGAGTAGCACCTAAACTTTTCTCCATCTGTTGTTACGGGCTTAGGTGTGATAGTATTAGAGGTTGGAATTTGTTTCGTTGTTGGTGGCAAATACGTTGGTGCTAGACAGTCTGGGGCTGTTGATCCCGGATAGCATCTCGGTTTTGTTGTCGAAGGTAGCTCTTGAGGGCACCGAGGATCAGTAGAACCAGGGTAACATCTTGGCTTAGGCCTCTCCGTTGGTGTTTCTATAGTTGCTGGTGGCTGGTAGGTTGCTGGTAGGCACTCAGGATCTCTTGATCCAGGATAGCACCTCGGCTTAGGTGAAAGAGTTGGAGTGCGATAAGTGGAAGGCGGTAAATAGGTGGCAGGTTGACATCTGGGGTCATCTGGGTTCTCCTCGCAGCCTGCCTTTTTGGTTGTTGGCACTTTAGGACATTTTGGATCTGGAGAGCCTGGGAAGCAGTTAAGGCAGTCTGGATCTGATGAGCCAGGATAACATCTCGGCTTTGTTGTAGTGGCCGACCTCTGAGGACATCGAGGATCAGTCGACCCTGGATAGCATTTCGCTACTTCTATAGTTATAGGAGCTCTAGTCGTCGTCGGAGCCGAGTATGTTGGGGTTCTTCTAGTTGTAGGTGGTGCGTATGTCGATGGAAGACACTCAGGATCGGATGAGCCGGGATAGCAACGTGGTTTCAGTGTCGTTGCGGGTTCTTGAGGGCATCGAGGATCGGTTGAACCTGGGAAGCACCGTGGTTTGGGTCTATCTACTGGTGTTTTGATCGTTGTTGGAGGCAGGTAAGTTGCGGGCTGACACTCTGGATCTGATGATCCAGGATAACATCTAGGCTTTGTTGTCGTTGCGGGCCTCTGAGGACATCGAGCATCGGTCGATCCTGGATAGCATTTCGGTGTTTCTATAGTTATAGGAGCTCTAGTCGTCGTCGGAACCGAGTATGTTGGGGTTATTCTAGTTGTAGGTGGTGCGTATGTCGATGGAAGACACTCAGGATCGGATGAGCCGGGATAGCAACGTGGCTTCAATGTCGTTGCGGGTTCTTGAGGGCATCGAGGATCGGTTGAACCTGGGAAGCACCGTGGTTTGGGTCTATCTACTGGTGTTTTGATCGTTGTTGGAGGCAGGTAAGTTGCGGGCTGACACTCTAGATCTGATGAGCCAGGATAACATCTCGGCTTTGTTGTAGTTGCCGGCCTCTGAGGACATCGAGGATCAGTCGACCCTGGATAGCATTTCGGTACTTCTATAGTTATAGGAGCTCTAGTCGTCGTCGGAGCCGAGTATGTTGGGGTTATTCTAGTTGTAGGTGGTGCGTATGTCGATGGAAGACACTCAGGATCGGATGAGCCGGGATAGCAACGTGGCTTCAATGTCGTTGCGGGTTCTTGAGGGCATCGAGGATCGGTTGAACCTGGGAAGCACCGTGGTTTGGGTCTATCTACTGGTGTTTTGATCGTTGTTGGAGGCAGGTAAGTTGCGGGCTGACACTCTGGATCTGATGAGCCAGGATAACATCTCGGCTTTTTTGTCGTTGCGGGCTTCTGAGGACATCGAGGATCGGTAGACCCTGGGAAGCACTGTGGTTTGGGTGCGACTGTTGTTCTGATCGTTGTTGGCGGCTGGTAAGTTGCTGGTAGACACTCGGGATCTCTGGATCCAGGATAGCACCTCGGCTTAGGTGAAAGAGTTGGAGTGCGATAAGTGGAAGGCGGTAAATAGGTGGCAGGTTGACATCTGGGGTCATCTGGGTTCTCCTCGCAGCCTGCCTTTTTGGTTGTTGGCACTTTAGGACATCTTGGATCTGGAGAGCCTGGGAAGCAGTTAAGGCAGTCTGGATCTGATGAGCCAGGATAACATCTCGGCTTTGTTGTAGTTGCTGGCCTCTGAGGACATCGAGGATCGGTCGATCCTGGATAGCATTTCGGTGTTTCTATAGTTTTAGGAGCTCTAGTCGTCGTCGGAGCCGAGTAAGTTGGGGTTCTTCTAGTTGTGGGTGGTGCGTATGTCGATGGAAGACACTCAGGATCGGATGAGCCGGGATAGCAACGTGGTTTCAGTGTCGATGCGGGTTCTTGAGGGCATCGAGGATCGGTTGAACCTGGGAAGCACCGTGGTTTGGGTCTATCTACTGGTGTTTTGATCGTTGTTGGAGGCAGGTAAGTTGCGGGCTGACACTCTGGATCTGATGAGCCAGGATAACATCTCGGCTTTTTTGTCGTTGCGGGCTTCTGAGGACATCGAGGATCGGTAGACCCTGGAAAGCACTGTGGTTTGGGTGCGACTGTTGTTCTGATCGTTGTTGGCGGCTGGTAAGTTGCTGGTAGACACTCGGGATCTCTGGATCCAGGATAGCACCTCGGCTTAGGTGAAAGAGTTGGAGTGCGATAAGTGGAAGGCGGTAAATAGGTGGCAGGTTGACATCTGGGATCATCTGGGTTCTCCTCGCAGCCTGCCTTTTTGGTTGTTGGCACTTTAGGACATCTTGGATCTGGAGAGCCTGGGAAGCAGTTAAGGCAGTCTGGATCTAATGAGCCAGGATAACATCTCGGCTTTGTTGTAGTTGCTGGCCTCTGAGGACATCGAGGATCAGTCGATCCTGGATAGCATTTCGGTGCTTTTATAGTTATAGGAGCTCTAGTCGTCGTCGGAGCCGAGTAAGTTGGGGTTTTTCTAGTTGTGGGTGGTGCGTATGTCGATGGAAGACATTCAGGATCGGATGAGCCGGGATAGCAACGTGGCTTCAGTGTCGATGCGGGTTCTTGAGGGCATCGAGGATCGGTTGAACCTGGGTAACACCGTGGTTTGGGTCTATCTACTGGTGTTTTGATCGTTATTGGAGGCAGGTAAGTTGCGGGCTGACACTCTGGATCTGATGAGCCAGGATAACATCTCGGCTTTGTTGTAGTTGCTGGCCTCTGAGGACATCGAGGATCGGTCGATCCTGGATAGCATTTCGGTGTTTCTATAGTTTTAGGAGCTCTAGTCGTCGTCGGAGCCGAGTAAGTTGGGGTTCTTCTAGTTGTGGGTGGTGCGTATGTCGATGGAAGACACTCAGGATCGGATGAGCCGGGATAGCAACGTGGCTTCAGTGTCGATGCGGGTTCTTGAGGGCATCGAGGATCGGTGGAACCTGGGTAACACCGTGGTTTGGGTCTATCTACTGGTGTTTTGATCGTTGTTGGAGGCAGGTAAGTTGCGGGCTGACACTCTGGATCTGATGAGCCAGGATAACATCTGGGCTTTGTTGTCGTTGCGGGCTTCTGAGGACATCGGGGATCGGTAGACCCTGGGAAGCACTGTGGTTTGGGTGCGACTGTTGTTCTGATCGTTGTTGGAGGCTGGTAAGTTGCTGGTAGACACTCGGGATCTCTGGATCCAGGATAGCACCTCGGCTTCGGTGAAAGAGTTGGAGTGCGATAAGTGGAAGGCGGTAAATAGGTGGCAGGTTGACATCTGGGGTCATCTGGGCTCTCCTCGCAGCCTGCCTTTTTAGTTGTTGGCACTTTAGGACATCTTGGATCTGGAGAGCCTGGGAAGCAGTTAAGGCAGTCTGGATCTGATGAGCCAGGATAACATCTCGGCTTTGTTGTAGTTGCTGGCCTCTGAGGACATCGAGGATCAGTCGACCCTGGATAGCATTTCGCTACTTCTATAGTTATAGGAGCTCTAGTCGTCGTCGGAGCCGAGTATGTTGGGGTTCTTCTAGTTGTAGGTGGTGCGTATGTCGATGGAAGACACTCAGGATCGGATGAGCCGGGATAGCAACGTGGTTTCAGTGTCGATGCGGGTTCTTGAGGGCATCGAGGATCGGTGGAACCTGGGAAGCACCGTGGTTTGGGTCTATCTACTGGTGTTTTGATCGTTGTTGGAGGCAGGTAAGTTGCGGGCTGACACTCTGGATCTGATGATCCAGGATAACATCTAGGCTTTGTTGTCGTTGCGGGCCTCTGAGGACATCGAGGATCGGTCGATCCTGGATAGCATTTCGGTGTTTCTATAGTTATAGGAGCTCTAGTCGTCGTCGGAGCCGAGTATGTTGGGGTTCTTCTAGTTGGAGGTGGTGCGTATGTCGATGGAAGACACTCAGGATCGGATGAGCCGGGATAGCAACGTGGTTTCAGTGTGGATGCGGATTCTTGAGGGCATCGGGGATCGGTTGAACCTGGGAAGCACCGTGGTTTTGGTCTATCTACTCGTGTTTTGATCGTTGTTGGTGGTAAGTAAGTTGCGGGCTGACAGTCTGGATCTGATGATCCAGGATAACATCTGGGCTTTATTGTCGTTGCGGGACTCTTACGACATCGAGCATCGGTCGATCCTAGATAACATTCTGGTTGTTCTATGGCTATTGGCGCTTCAGTCGTTGTTTGTGGGAAGTAGGTTGTTTTTTGGCATTCTGGATCTGTAGATCCAGTGTAGCAGCGTGATTTGGTTGTCGTTATTGCTATTCTTGGCTTTGTTGGTGGCGAGAAAGTGGTTAAAAGACAGGCAGGATCTGCTGAGCCAGGGTAACACCTAAGCTTAGGCCCATCTGTAGGTATTTTGGTCTTTAAGCTGCTACATGAGTATTCTCTTTGACATGTTCCCTTGCATAATTCAATATCACATTTTAGATACACTTGGGATCGGTCGGGGAATTTAAATGCTTTGAGTGTATTATAATATGTGGAGGTAAGACTGGACCTGGACTGAGATTCCAACTTTTGCCACTCCCCAAATATTTTTTCCTTGATAGTGCAGCCTCTTTTATCGGAGAGTTGTAACGTCTTGGTGGTTTTTGCCTCAAAGTTCATGTCATCTGAGGCATAGCACTTCAGTATGTTTACATCCCATGCTTGAGTCGAATGCTTTACATTTATGGTAAACGTTACATCGGTGCCAAGCTTCAAGGTTGTACTAATGGGCTTAATATTTGGTGGTATTCCAGTACCAATTTCCATCCAGCATTCCACTGGGCCGCTTGGGGTATCAACGGAAACTATTTCGAGCATATCAACGACAAACGGCTTGAAGTAAACCGTTTTCTCCTGCTCCTCGCTGCGGCTACATGATACTTTTCGCGCTATATCCCAACTATTCTGAATATCTTTGTCATTTTGTATAATTAGGACGTTCTCAATTGAAGAGCATATCGAGCAGGACGGCTTACTGCCGCAACCGTCATAAGGCACATTGAATATAAATTTTCTGTCTCCATTATTGGCAGCCACATAGCTAATGGAATCAAATATAGTACATTAGATAATAGGTATGTGCAGCCCTAAAACTTTACATACGTGCATTTGGGATCATTGTAGTATCCCTGACTGTAAATAATTCCGTTAAAGTTTTCTAAAAAGTCTACTTCCACCGTCATGCCATTTCCTTGGTCGCATTTAACATCAATCTTTTCAATATTTTGAGCCGACAAAGATGTCTCACTATTAAATGTGGGCGTAGAGTAGCTTAAGACATCATTAAGAGAATCATCATTGTTTAGATCCGTCCCTGAAGTAATGACCTACAAAATAATAAAGAATCGTAATATCCGTTTGGAAAATAGTATTACTTTTTATTAATATACATACCACTATTAGCGTCCATATAAAAACGTAGCCAATGTTGGCCATATTCGATGTGTTTGCTTTAACTTCAACCTGTAAGACGCACATTTTTTGATCAAAAATTAATCAAAATAGCACTTCTAACTATCAGTGCTTAAAAGAAGAAGCTTTTGCTTACAAATTCAAGTGTTCATTCATTCAGACTGCAAAGATTTCTGATTCTTTGTCCTTCAAAGCTGAACCTTTTCTTTGTCCTAACAAATTATCCTAGTCTTTAACATTAAGTAGCAGCATCTATTCAAATTTTGTTGCATTGTATTCAGTTCTTCTTGAAGTCTGAAAAGTGTTGTACCAAAGCCCCAAGACCCTACCTTTCAAACAAAGACGAAAAATCAGTTAAAAACTCAAAGAAATAGCCATAAATTATTTGCTCACATTATTTTCTTTGACATGGGTCTCTGTCTATCCGTGTACGTCAAGATTTGTATAATTTCTGCTTGACGGCAGAAAAAATTAAATTTTGTTTCATCGCGTAATTATAATTAAGTGTGTCACTGTGCAAATATTGGAGAATATTTGGTACTGGGTGAGGTAAGATCTGCTATATCGTAAATTAGGTAAATTGAGTACATGCTAAAGCGTACAATATTTACAAACGCTTCATTGGGCCGGACGCCGCCGGACCTCTTTTGCTGATGTGATGCATCTGCTTCGCAAAAACTGGTTTGCTTTTTGAATAATACAACTAACCTTTAAAAAGAAAAAAGCTGCAGATTTCAAAATCCATACACATAAAACACAAACCAAACGAAGCAAAGGGAGACGAGAAGCAAATATTGTAGTAGCCAGTGCCTACTATTTGGTTACCCACTTGATAAAGGGGTTCCAATTTGAGGCCTTTTGTGTGGCATTGGCTTCTGCAATTTGATGGCTAGCTGGCGCTGGCGCTGGCTGGTGTTTTTTCCATGGTATTCCACTGTATTATTAATGTATTAGGCACTTTTTCCAAAAAAAAGATCCATTTGCTTGGCTTGGGAGATTGCCAGCATTAAGATAACTAGATTTATACAATGCAATGAGATTATGGATAATTAACGGTCGTAAACACAGGAAATCAAAGACCCCCGAATAAAAATGTGTGTGTACTAGCACATACCCGTACTCGTACTCTTTGTTTTTTTAATCGAAATTTCGTCGAAAATAAAGTAGAGCCTAGATAGAGCCTGACATGTTCTGTAGACTTTTGCTGACTTACAGATACTTATGAAAGCATGCGAATATATATTATTTATAGACAATGAAGTTCATTTGGATGGATTGTTAGTTTTCTTGGTCCCTTCTGCTGCTGTTCCCATTTCTCGCTGCATACGCGCATGACCTAGTTTTTTAATTTTATTTTTTATATTTTGTTGTTCGCAGTATTCACGAGCTAACTCAAACATGCCAATTTTATAATATTAACCCATAATTATATACAAATCTAATCGAAATTAGTTAATTGGGTCATTTGTTTTTGTTTTCCTTTTAATACACTTTTTAAGCTGTGGGATAGTTATTAATGTTAATTTGTGTCTTATGGGTCACAAATTAATCGTTCTTTTGGCAGCAATTCGATACACAATAACGATATTTGTTATTCAATTTAAAAGTCCCACAGTTGAATGAGAAACTGAAGCTACATTTCATGGAGAACCATCCTTCCTATGAAAGTCGAAGGACATTATAGTACCACGTAATAGTTTTTCAACAATTTTTATTTAGTCATTGAAGAGCACGAGCTAAAAATGGATATATGTGTAAATACTGTCTTTATATGGCAGATCACTTTATGCAAAAACAAATCAAATATGGGGAGTTTCGGTGCAAGTTACGCAATGAATTAAACAAGTGTGAGAGGCGTCGGTATGTTACGGGTATTGTGATATGACCACATGAGCCTTGATTGCTTTGGAATGTAAAATAGTACATATTTGCCATTATACCATCGACTCTACCATTATAATACCTGTATCTTCCATCCCGGATTAAGCAAATCATTACAAATTTGCATTTATAATTCATCTTTCTCATTAAAAGCGATAAAAACGTGCGAATTGCGATACTTAGAAAAAAAGACAAGACAAAATCTGTGCATTTTTATTATGCCTCAAAGGCAAACGCGCAAAAATTAAAATTATTGCGCATTGTAAGAACTGTGGATGGGATCGGATGGGATCTGTAAAACTTGTTTCGTATTTTAAACTGTATTTGAACAGAACAGAAGAGTAAATTAAAAATACCCGTTAGTATGCTTTTTAAGTATCGCCGCAAATGATTCAATTCATAAATCTTCTCCCAATCTGAGAATTATATTGTATGTATGTACATATGTATGTACATATGTATGTATATTTTGAGAGTTCCTATAAATACGGCAATTTATTTCATTCCTTTATGGCAGTGTGGGGTTTTTACACTCGCCTGCAATTATCGGTTCACGGGCAAAAAAACATTCGACTTCGTTCGTTCTCACACTTTCGTAGTAGGATTCACCTGTTCTTAGTTCACTTTTTTTATATGTTTTCTTTTCGGTAGGTATAATTAATAGCCTATTGTGCGGCGCTTGTGCATTCACTTGAACACTGATTTTAGATTAAAATAATACAAAAAACACTTGCTGAATCGACTAATTTATTGGTCCATCATCTTTTGGATGGGATGGGATGCGATGGGATGCGGCTCTGACTTACTGCACTTGTTTGTTGAGACCTACTGGGGGTATGCGATTTGTTGTCGCTGGTTAAGTGGACGTTGCCGCACTAAGCCTCGAAGAGGTTCGTCTTCGTTTATATACACACGAGGTATGATTTAACAAAATCCGTTTTGGATATTGCTATAAAAATGCAAAGCCCCAGCAAGTAAAACAACAGCAACAAAAAACACCCATGCTAGTAGCCCATACATATATTGTTGTTTATTTTACGTTGATTGTGGTGTTTTTACACGCACACTGATCACATCAGGGTATTGCCACTTCTTCACAAGCCGAAAATCGATCCATGTATGATGGCTACGTAAGCTGCGTGTGGAAAATATATTTTCGGAGCAGTAGATTTTTTCGAAATCCCTAATGAGTAATGGTTGATTTTTTCTACACATGTAGAACTGGTTAAGTTCCATTTAACAGACAGCATTTGCAACGATCTATAGAGCATTGAATAGTCGCCATCGTCAATGGGGATGGGTCTTGCGATTTTTTCCATTCATGTTGATTTCGTGGGCAGCGAAGACGCGTGAGCAGCATCCACACGCCGACATCGCGTCCGCTGTCTTGACTTGACCCAAGCGCGCGACTGGAACATTTTCAGCTGAAAAACTGCGCTGCGCTGCGCCTTCGCCTGTATGCTTTTAGGGCCAAAGAGTCAAAATCCGTCATTGTACTAGCTACATATATGTATACTCGTGGCCGACTGTCACTGCTGCTTCAATGTTGTCATGCAACTCCAACCGGCGATGAGTGGTGTGGCGTGGTGTGGTGTGGAGTGGTGTTGCCGTGGCCAAGTTGATGCGCCTGGTCATCCCTAACAGGTATTGGGATCCCAAACTTTGGAAGCCCAACGTCCGCTTCGTGATGCTGATAGATTTTAACCAAATGGCATCGGTCATGGCGATGCTATTGCCGTTCGTCGGTTTGTCGCCATGGGAACTTGGCGCGAAGGTAAGAAGAATACGGATAAGCGCTTTCAGCCACCGTTGTCTCCCTAGCCTGTGCATATTCGTACGATGAAATCACGACACCAACGCCGATGAAGATGCCTAAGTGTTAGGGCTTTTGACGAAACCTCACGTAACCTAGACGGCAATTAAAATTTTCAACTTTTTGTGATCTTTCGTACAGAAATATGTGCACAGGACAACTTGAAATACTTTTATTTATATTATTTGATTCGAGTAATAGGCTTTGGGTTAATTATGATGTTTAAACACACGCCGCATGAGTAACAGAGTTCAATAAACGTTCAATAAAAGTCAATGCCAGTACCAACCAGTGAATCGCAAAACAAGTAAGTTCCTCTCAAGGATAACTTGCGATCTTACGAATTGACGAGAGATTACAAATATTCATACATATTTTAAAGTTAATGTTCTTTGACAAAATTGTATAGCCTACCCGCGTTTAGACATACTCGAATTTTTGCGGAATAAAATACACATACGAGTACCCATATTCGTAATCCTTAGTAAGAATATTTATACATTCATACATACATATATGGACATTTCCGACAAAAAGTTCACCATTCTAAATAACATTTAAAGCATATAAAAACAGATTTCCATATATTTTTGTTGTTATATAACGAAAACAGGAAAGGTTTTTACATTTAATAACTTGGAAAATTAGCTCTCAATATTTTATTTATTAGTACGAAAAAATGTTATACAATACGCAGCTTTTTAAAATAGTAGAAAGCCTTTCCGACCCTATAAGGTATATACATACATACATACGCCTAGTTCTAAAGAGAGACTATAAGAGCTAGAGCAACCAAATTTTGTAGCATATGTGGCATCCGCAATTATGAAGATACGAGAAACCTGTCGCGGCTCTAGCTTCTAGCAGCATTTCTCCTCGCTGTTAAAATGGGGCCTAATATTCAAAATAAAATTACATACATATGTACATTTCAAATAGAGTTAATTTTTACAAAATTTGAGCTTTTCTTTGTATTTTAACCTGAATCTGAAACCTGATTATAAAGATTGACTTGAACTTCAGTAGCTAGACTGATTTGGTGCCATTTATTTACATGTACATTTTATATTATCTACCAATCGTTTAAGATTTCCTATTAATGTTTGATTCTTATAGAAATTTTACGATTTTGATTTTGATTTTCAGAGTTTGAGAAGTGTAAAAACTTAAAAGGAATTAACTTAATATTGTTCGAACTCTTTAAATCCCATTATGTGATAAGGAATACCATTCAAATGTCAACTGTTGTAGTATCGCCCCTCAGATATCCGCGGTTTAATTGCATACATTCAAAAGCTGACGAATTTATGTGTAGAATGTAGAAATCATGTAAAATTGTGATATGTGTAGAATCATTATGAAATTAAACAAGGTGGTATGTATAAAAGCGGTTCGGTTTTAATTTTATATTTTTCCCTGAAATTCCCTGAAAAAAAGAATCATGAACAACGCATTTTTTTGAGAATCGGTTCTACAAAATCCGACTGGGACGACCCGAAAGAAAGAGGATAACCACCACGTAAAATGTCATCATGTGTAAAATACATGTAGAAATAATGTAGAATTTTATTAATTTATCTGATAACATAACGGATATCAGTTTGTTTTTAAAAATGATTCCTTATCAAGATCAGGTTGATGAATGTTTCTCGGCTACTTTCCGATATAAGGTCGCTATAACTTGCAATATTGTAGAGACATTTATTCCAATGCTGAATCACAGGAATATCCTGAAGAAGGTCATTCCGTGTCACCAGTCCGAACGATAGAACATTGGTATGGTAAAGAAATATTTACTGAAGGACTTTACTGATTGAAAAAGAACGTAATTTATATTATATTTCATTTGGCTCTCATCAAAAAATTACATTAATACTCAAAATACCTATTAATAAATTAATCTGAACCATTAGTATTAGTATCTTTAAGTGGGAGTACTCGCCCAAAAATAAATTTTAGAGTTAAAAATAAAAATTTGTTTCCGCCAAGAATCCTTTTGATTTACATCGGGATATGATAAACGATAATTCAAGAGAAAAGCTCACTCCAAAAGCTGATATTTCCCCCCTTGTGACTACGCTGCACATAGAATGTGGTGGAGTGGAGCTTTAATAAAAATCAATAAAGTCACAGCTGCTTGTGTACAACAAGTGAGAAGGTAATCCGAATGCCGCAGAATACGAAATAAATTGAACAGCATCTCAGTACCTTAGTTCGATCAATAAACTAATTCCCTTTTATATTCGAATCCAGAAAAAGAAATAACGCATTTGAGAGTTTGGGTTGGGATCAAAATCATCAATATGCCAAGCTCAAGACGTGCCATAATGAAACACATATTGTCCGGAATGTGCAGCAAAATGAATCGCACTAAAGTGGTGCCCACTGACGTAATGGAGACACCGCTGAATCGGTGCCTGAACACCTTTGACATCGCGCTACTTGGTACTCGACTAATCCAATCCCAGACCCCTTATCCCTTTATTGCTAATGAAAGATATTTCCTTGCAGGCATTGGACATATGGTTGGGGCTGGCATCTATGTGTTGACTGGAACGGTGGCCAAGGAAATGGCAGGACCTGGCATTATCCTGTCGTTTGTTTTGGCTGGCTTCATCTCAATGCTGGCAGCCCTCTGCTATGCGGAATTTGGAACGCGGGTGCCAAAGGCTGGCTCCGCATACGTGTACACCTACATATCAATGGGTGAGTTCTGGGCGTTTGTCATTGGCTGGAACATACTGCTGGAGCACATGCTGGGAGCAGCGTCGGTGGCGCGGGCCTGGAGCGGCTACGTAGACTCCATGCTGGGTGGATGGATTGGCAATACTACCCTGGCATTGACGGGCGGCATGCATGAGCCGGGGCTGGCCCAGTATCCGGACATACTAGCCTTCATGGTCTGCATCGTGTACGCAGCTGCACTGGCCATCGGAGTGAAAGCAACGGCGATGTTCAATAGCTTACTTACCCTAGTCAACATAGCGGTCATGATTCTGGTCATAAGTGTCGGCTTCTGGTATGCGGACACCAAGAACTGGTCAGAGGCTGAAGGGGGCTTCTTGCCCTACGGCGTTGGGGGCGTCATTGCGGGCGCAGCGACCTGCTTCTACGCCTTTGTGGGATTCGACTCGATTGCCACTTCGGGGGAGGAAGCCAAGAGTCCCGCCACATCCATACCCATAGCCACGATAATCTCGCTGTGTGTCGTCACTGTCGGATATATTCTGGTAAGCGCGGCTCTGACACTCATGATCCCGATTAGCGATATTAATCCGGCGGCCTCTTTGCCGGAGGCATTCGGCCAACTGAATCTTTCCTGGGCAAAGTACATAATCTCAATCGGAGCTCTGTGCGGCATGACGACCACATTATTGGGCTCGCTATTTGCACTGCCCCGCTGTATGTACGCTATGGCCTCGGACGGTTTGCTCTTTAGCTGTTTCGGCAAAGTGAACGCCAAGACCCAAATTCCGTTGCTGAATCTAGCTGTTGCCGGGGTTCTGAGTGCTACTCTCGCGCTGGTGTTCGATCTGGCCAAGCTGGTGGAGTTCATGTCCATTGGGACACTTCTGGCCTATACGATCGTCTCGGCCAGCGTGATCATTCTGCGCTATAGACCCATGTCACAGCTCCACAATCCCATACGGGCACCTGACACCCCAGGCAGTCCTGATGATGTCTCCGACGAAGACTCGATGTCGCAGTCGAGCCTGGACACCGCATCGTCGCCCACGAATTTCTTGATCGAGGAAGGACTGGCCGGACGACTAAAGACACAGTTCCGCTACCTGGAGCCATTGCTGGGACGTTTCGAGCCTGGTTCTGTGGTATCTGTTGCTGTAATGCTCTTCATCGGTCTGTGCTTCGCTATCTGCGTGGAGCTCAAGGTTTCCTGGACTGAGCTGTACTCGGGCACTTGGTGGGCCCTTCTCATCTATGGATTTATCATATTTTCCGCCTGCCTCTGTGTCGCCGTTATGGCGGTGCACAATCAAAACACACGCGGATTGGTGTTTAAGGTACCACTGGTTCCATTCGTGCCGGCTCTTGGTATCTTTTGCAACATTCTGCTGATGGTTCACCTGGACGCCGTGACCTGGACACGCTTTTTCGTTTGGGTCTGCATTGGGATGGTAGTTTATTTTCTGTACGGAATTCATCACAGCAAGGAGGGTGAAACGTGCACCTCTTATTCCATATTAATGACATCATCCGAGGCTGGCAAATTGCCGTGGGGTTCGGTCAAAGGTTTTACATCTGGGAAAGTTGGAAGGCATTCTGCCATAGAGAGATTCACGGGCCGCACTAAGACAGAGGACAAAAAATCCATTGCGGAAGAGAGCGATCATGAAACTCCTGGGTATTCCTAAACCAAACGTACCATATTCCGAGAACACTCCGAAAGTCTCTAAAGTACTCGTACATAACCCATCCGAATTCGATGCATTCTTAATGGCCCGATATGTAAGGTGATATTCTGAGAAATGTGCTCGAGGGAAATCGAATCAAAATTGATCAATAGCGAAGTACCTTTGCCACAAGATAATATATTTAGCCCGTGTCTACTGAGAATTATTTATACCAACCTTAAAGTTATAAAAAAATTGTTTATAATACACGAGTCTATACCTATATATTATATTATATGCATATGTATATTGAAAACGTACAAATATATTTATTAAACGGTATGCACACAGCGCATTTGTTAAACGATAGTAAATGTCTAAATAAATATGAATTACTTTGTAAATAATTATATCAAATATTATACATTTTAGACTATTTATATAAAACATACATATACATATATATATTTAAGGTGTAAGGTTTAATGTTTGCTTAATTAAAACTAATCGGATTGATCAGTCTATACGTGGACTATTCAAGTAGAATTACTCCTCCTCTCCGAAAAGGAGATCAGATCCTCAATTAGATTTCAAAACTAATAATGGGGCACTGACCTTCGGATTCGGAGGGCCCCCATTCGAGTGGGTCATTGCACTGATGAAATCTCACCCGACTGGTCTGATGGCTGATGGCGAGTCGCAGCACCAGTGTGAAAGTTTACAACCAAAATCGTGCATCGAGAAAGTAATTTTCTCAGCCACCAGCTTAGCGACATGTTAATCTTTTTGGATAGCTTATTGCGGATACTCGTATTGTTCGAACTGAAAACAGATTTGGGTAAAATTTTATGCATGCAATTCGGACCGCAAGCCTACAAACCTATCAGCGTTGAAGTCTGTCGATTCCAATGCCAATACCAGTATCTATTTAGTGGCTTTAGCGTTCTTAAATCTTTCTGTGTGTGTGCGTGTATGAGAAGAATGTCGTCAGGATCATGATTCAGACAGACAGGAAAGTGAGGGGAAAGGCAAAAGCAAAAGCAAAAACTAAACTTGATGACGCCACGATGACGCAGCCATGGTGACGCATGAGGCTAACATAATGGTGTATATGGTGCATCGCCGTCCGTATACGCTATTGATTTCGACAACTAGTGAAATGGTATTTGTCTATTCAAATGTTTATACTTAATCACTATCTTCTTCTCAACATCTTATCTTTCTTCTATAATCTTTACAAACAACAATGGTGTTCGATTTTTATAGAAGTCTTGCTTATATATAAGTATCTCGTAAACTGATGGACGGACGAGATTTGATAGATCCGCTATCAAGATTTTGAAGACTCACTGAAAGGGTATACAATTTTAAAACCATCTCTTAAGCAAAGGGACATGGGTATTATACACATAACATACTAAAACCGGGTAGAGTAGATGCTGAAATCCCAGTCCTCTCAGCTAATCGAAATTATTAAAGGAAAGAGCAGCTTTGTTTCGCCACAAAATGAAATACAACTACCGGCAGGAAGATGTGATGAAACTCGATTATTTCAATGCATACTTTTATTATTCTTGATATCATTTCTGTTTCATTTTTGTTTGGTGTGGTGACACGGTAACGACACACAGATACTTTCCATGCTTACACACACATACATATGAGAAAACAGATGCAAAAACAACAAAAAAGAAACTGCGGAGAAAGAGTGCGAGCGAATGAGGTTGTTTCGGTTTGGATACCCTTGCAGACAGTATTATAAGTTCGACAGATGTTTGACAATGCAGAGAACACGATATTTTATTACTTTATGGGTTTTTATTGCTGTATGCAGAATATAATATCTGATCATTTAACTGCCACCTCACCATTCACTCTATGTGCTAGTTTATAGACCCACACATTCTATCAAAATCAAATCAGTGTAGTGTAACCTGTCGAAGAGCTATGGGATCTGGCAAGGGCATCAGAAGCTTCGGCCCGAAAACTTTTTATTTTCCACCACGCACACACACATTCAGATCTCAGTCCCGTATTTATCGGCGACTTTGTGTGGATATTGAACTAAAAAGAAGAAGAGAAGGCGAAACAGACGTTTCTTTTTAAAACGCGCGATCGTTACTTTTTGAAAAGCGTGCTTTAGCCAAGCGCCAAAAATGCGTGCGTGCGTACAACAGCTTTTTTATATATGGATGTATTTTCTGCATTGCCTACGTTTTGTGCATTTGTTCACACAGTGGACGACGAAAGTCTATCAAAAAATTGAATTTTACTTAAAATATCTATTTTCCACTATCAAACTTAAGATAATACTTCTAAATAAAATATCTATATAAATATGCATGGCTATTAACGTGTCATTTTAACATGAAATAATGTTCTGGATGTAGACATCTACGAGGCTTTTTTTTAATACAGATGTATGTACATATGTATATGTATTTATGTGCATGCATAAATATGGACATAATAAAACTAGATCATAACATTTCTTTAAAATGTTTTTGCTACGCCAGAGGAGAGGTAGCAAAGATAGGGGTCGGGTCATATAACTTTTGTCGACCACTGTACATGCTCGGGTGGTTGGGAATCACCTTGCGCCAGCTGAATATGCGACTGCAACATTCAAGAGTATGTACAGCCGTGCCCCACAGCACTATGTTGATACTTAGGGGATGAAGTAGTGGTACAGCTGGCTTCTCTTCTTGGGCAATAGAAATCTACCTGCGACCTGCGTAGCACAGTGGTGATCCTCTTCCTTTCGGTATTCGGGATCCTTCCCACCGATCGACAGCTGCAAACAACAATCGTAAATCGCTTCCACAACACCGTGCGCGATACATACAGGCACGCATACACACATACATATGAGTAATTTAAAATCTCTGAATGTAAGATCGCAGATGTTTTTTGAAATATGTATGTATGTACATACATACATATGTACATACAATGAGGGGCTGAATTGTAGTGCGTAGATCAATGCCTTCTGGACTGTACATACAGGTATTGCGAAATGAATATAACGATATTACAAATATATGGTTATTTTGGCATTCAAATTTAACGTATTATCGCTTCTTTTCGAAATAACTACATGTGTACATACAGACATACTTTGTAGTCTATAGTATGTGTGTTTTATGTGTGACGTTTTTTGACATTCAGAGAGACAAGCAAAGCCAGGAATTTCAGCGTTCCACGCAATTGTTTTCAAAAATAACGATGGATGACGTTGCTTTCGCTCCCATACAAACTCACACACACAAACGGGAACAACCTTGTGTGACAAGAGAGCGAGAGAGACAAAAGAGAGAGAGAGAAAGAGAGCATCTGGAAATTTTCTCTCTTTTCGTGGTGTGTCAGCAACATGCGCCGCGGAATGAGCAACATTCTGCATACCCTTGGGAAAAGGATATTATATGATTGAAGTAATGGTTGTCCTCTCAGGCTCCATAAATTCAGAAAGTCTCTAATTTTTAGGCTTATCTCAACGAATTTTTTCAGTTTATGGTATTCTCAATGACCATGAATAGGTATCGGGATCGAGATATATACAGAAACCACTCACATGCATGAATAGGTCCACAAATATCAATCTAATAAAAAGTCAAGTCAAAAGCTGCTTGGAAAAAAACATGTTAACATTAATCAAAGGATAGAGTGTATACAAATGGCCGTACCATACGCATTACTGAAACCTGTTGACCAGCAACAATTGCGTATCATTTCGAAACTACTTACATTTTATTCTTTAACCTTTTTTATCTAAACCTTATTTTGGAAAAAATGCAATGAAAAGGAGTACTAAAAAATAGCCAATCTTATAGAAAATTGATGTATCAAGCGGATAAAATTATGTGTTCATGTATGGAATTCCAAGCTAGCTAGTAATATAAAACCGAATATCAAAATCGAGAAATATGCAACAAGGAACGTTAGCCCACTGTAGACCAAGGGGGTACTTTAATATTCCACCGAAAATAATACAAATTTAATAATATTAACGCAGCTCAGACGAAACATATTGTGTTTTTTTTTTAAGTTCAAAGGATAAATGGCATGGATCTACAAGAAGAATTTAAAATCAGTAACATCTTCCGCAGTTTATCTAAAGTCGTTGAACTGTTCAAATATAGAGGGTTTAGATCGTTACAGGCATTGGTATATTTACATAGTTTTTTGACGTATATTTCGGTATATTTCTTATCGCTAAGTGCTCACTTCTGCGACGAAACATTGAGTCGTCATTTTGAATGGGCAATAGAAAGGCGTATGAACAACAGGCAAAAACAGCCAATGCAAATTGCAAGGTTCGTACAAACCTCACCTCGCCTGTACGGACAATATACCTTGAAGACAAAACCTGCAAGGTACATTGGGCAAATGGGGTGGATTTTACCTTGCATGCGTTGCATTTTCTGGGCCATTTTGCCTGTTGTCCATACTCTCTTTTTCCTTTTTCTTTTTCGTTAAAACCTTTTTTTAGGCAAATTTCAATAAAAGCAAGTATTTAAAATTAACCAGTCAAGTAGAAAATAAGTTCATTTATCGGATAAAATTATGTGAGCAGGGCTGAGAGATTTATCTAGTTAGTAATATTCGACGGAATATCAAAAACGAGGAATATGTATAATAGAACTTGAATTAATCGGTATATTTACGGTATATTTTTAAAATGAGACGGTATATTTTGGTATATTTCTGAGGGTCGGACGGGTCTATAAAATATAGATAAATCCGCGTCACACATCATAACATCAAAACTTGAAATTTTTTTGAACCGAGCGGTTGCTGCGCGCCTCGTTGGTTTTGTCATCGAATTAAAACTATATTTTTTGCTGTACAATATAAGTGTACAATACTCAATTTGTGCGGCAGTTTAGATAAGGTCGTGTTGCGGAATGTGCGTTTAAATATAATAAACAACAATAAAACGTCATTGTGTTTCATCCGCACACGGAATAGCGAGTGTGAAACGATTCGATTTGTTTTAAAATCGGAAAAAAACCACCGCGCGTTTATATTATTCAGCTATTCGCGAGAATTTCGTCAGAATTTTTTTTTGTTGCGAAATACATGCCGAAATCGAATTATTCCGCCTAGCAAAACGTGCCGAACGATGCGTCGTTAAATGTCAAAATAGTTAACTAACCCTGCAGGCTGCAATAAATGCCAATCGCGCGGAAGAGCGACAGCAACCACGGTCCCACCGAAGAGTACCCCCCAATCCGAGAGGAAATTGTGATAAACGCCGCCAGTGTAAAGCAACAACAGTGAACCCCGCAATACATGCAACATGGATAACAGTGGAGTGCAGAATAACACTACATCGGCCGAGGCCGACAAAATAGTCCTCTACTCCCAGCCCGCCTCGCCAGCAGCCGCATCCACGGCCAGCCCTGCCAGAAGCAGCGGAAGCAGCATAAATCATTCCCCAGCATCTGGCAGTAGCGGCATCGATGAACGCCTGTCACCCACGATGAATGCGGGGTCACTTTTCACGCCTAAGAAGGAGTTTCCCAGCGCCAAGATGCTGCAGACGATCCGCGAGAAGCTGCTCACGCCGGGTGGGGCCTGCGAGTTGCTGGCCCTGGGCATCGCCGCCGAGCCAACTGACCGTGGGTTGGCCGGGGAGCAGCCGGTGAAGCTGATCAAGAACCGCTACCTGATCAGTGCCCAACCTAGTCACATTTCAGCCGCTGCGGCGGCCAAAACACCTGCCTCGTATCGCCATCTCATCGATCTCACGTCCTCGAACCTCAAGTGCGTGGACGTCTTTAGCGGGGAACAGTTCCTCTGCCGAATCATCAACGAGCCGCTGGACAAGGTGCAGCGGGCCTACTTCCAGCTGCAACAGGACGAGCTGCTGTGCCGCAGCACTATCTACGGCCACTCGCTCATCCGACCCGTGCACGACATTGTGCCGTTGTCCAAGGACCGCACCTACATCATCATTGCGCAAGCGCAGCCGGGACGCGACTCTGTCGGTTGCCACACGGGCGTCTACGAGAACCTGCACACCTACATCAGGCACGAGAAGCGACTGTGCGAGGCGGAGGCGCGTGCCATCTTCCACCAGATATGCCAGACGGTACAGGTGTGTCACCGCAACGGCATCATCCTGCGGGACCTCAAATTGAAGCGTTTCTATTTCATCGACGAAGCCAGGTGAGGGCAACCCTTCCCCCCTCTTGCCCAATGTCGTGTTGCTCCAACCCTATTATCTCTCTGGCAAGACACCTTCAAATTTAAGCGCCACCATTTGCTGGCTGTGTATGGATGGGATGGGGGGCTGCATGTGCTGCTCGGCGGCGGCAGCGGCTTATTTTGCAATTCGATGAAAACTCGTTATGCGCCGCGAGAGCTTGTTGGTGTTGGTTGTGGTGCCACAATTGTTGCTCTCGTTATTGGCCCATGTTTTTGTTGCTGCTGTCGTCGTCGACGGCGGCGGCGTCGCCGTTGTGGGTAACATTGAACATTTAACAAGTGTTGCAATCGAATCACCAATAGGCCAACAAAAACAATTATACCCACGAATAGAGCATACACACACACCTATAGAAATGTACATATGGATGTATACATACTGAGCGCAGTCTGCTACAGTCGTGGCGAAAATGTTGCCATCAGTTCGTATCATGGAGTACATGTAGTATTTATTTTAAGAATAATAGTACCACCACAATGCCTTTGACTTTGTTCGCATTAGGTGACTGTTTGTGTGGCTAAATGAATGCATTTCCAATTTATACATATACAGTATGTATGTATGTACATCCATATGTATACATTCGCTGATGCAATATTGGGTAGACCCGAATAAGCAATATTTAGTAAGAGAATATTTGTACATTAATACATACAAATATATACATACATATATGTAGATATCTGGCCTGATATCTATTAGCATAGAAATTTGCCGAGGCAGAGGTAATGGAATTTTGTTTTCTTTGCTAGAGATAACAATTTCACCCTAATTAATGGCAAAAACAACAGATTTCGATGACGTGTTTCATTGTAAATTCTAACAGTATTGCAAGTCAGAGGTGTGATTGTACTATATGGTGAGGTATGTATGTATTTGTATGCATAGTTAACTCCATTCAAACAGACTGCGTGTTATTTGGGTTGATTCATACATACATACATACTTATGTACGAGTATGTATACATGTTTTTCTCTAACGCCACACGCACACAAACGAATTGATATTTTAAGGTCACAATGCGGCGAGTGGCCCTGACTCTGATCTTCTGTATTTCTATACACACAAATTGTACGTAAGCACGTATGTATGTATGTGCACATGTGCTCACGCGAAGACGCAGTTATTAGTATTTTACTCGGTATGCAGAAAACATATCCAAACATGCTTATACATACACACATATGCTGATATATATTTATGTATTCTTTTACACGGCAACATATAAGTACTTTTGTAATGTAAATATGTATACGTATGTATGAGCACCTTGAAAAATATATACCCACATGTGTGGGTATTTTTCAAGGTGTTTCAATAATTATCTGTCGCCCGTTTTCCGTATTTTTTCGTTTGTAAATTCACATCGAACCGTGAGTGAGTGAGAGAGAGAGAGCAAATACTTACTCGCTCGCTTCCCTCTCGCTCTCTTTGGCGTTGACTCTCTTCTCCGAAGACGCTCTCTGTCCGCTCACGGCACGAAAACCTTTTCCAGGCGGACGAGGTCATTTGTTGTAACTTCGAGCACTGTCAGTGGGGGAAGAGAAGAGCTAGTTTTCGAAGCTAGTTTTTGCTCAGGGTCAGCCTCGAGGTTTTCAAAATGTGCTCTTTTCTTTCCATGCTTGTTACTGGATACCCATACACAGGTACAGACACAGATGCGAGTGTTTGTATGTATGTGGCTTCGTTGATCAATAGAGGCCTGCCGAACCAGCTGTCGCATCCCTCTCTCGTAGAGTCACTTTCAGAGGGTGTTATGATGTTCGCCAAGATATTGCAACACAGGAAACATTTACCAATCACTTAAAGAATCAACAGCTTAGTCCAGCGATTTTCATATAAATAAAATATACAAATCATTGTTTTTGTCGCACGTATTGTATAACACGCGAGCCGAAAAGATCGGTTTACTATATATTGAGGAGTAAAACTTTACGTATTTCAGTTTCACAAAATTTTGACAAAAAATACCGCCATCGGATAACTAATCATAATATGAACGATATTATATCGATATTCAAGGGTATCAAGAGCTTCGGCCCCCGAGCTAGTCTTTCCTCTTTTTTTTTGTTTTTTTTTTTGCATTCAAAAGTGGGCCAATGTCAATGATGGCCGAGCCGAGGCAGTCGTTCATGGGTGTCTGGGGTCGCGAGCTTCGCTTTCGTCATCGACTGCGCTCTTGGCCAAATTCGACTCGACTTGACTCGATTCGGGGGCTGGCTGGCTGCCTTTCGACTTGTCAACGGCGTCGGCGTCGCCGATCGATTTGAGTCTTTTTCGGCATTGCGCTGGCCCCACAAAACCCAAAATCAAATCGAAGTTATGCAACGTAATGAGATTGCACATAATGTAGTGTAGAGACCGCAGATAACGTTACGGAAGAATGTAGAGATATTGGGTTTTAGTTAAAGCGTATATTGCGTTATATTCAGTTAAGTAAAACGGCAATTTTCTCTTCTTACAGAACAAAACTGCAGTACGAATCGTTGGAGGGCTCTATGATCCTTGAAGGCGAGGACGACACACTGAGTGATAAAATCGGCTGTCCTTTATATACAGCACCGGAGCTACTGTGTCCCCAGCCGACGTATAAGGGCAAACCAGCCGACATGTGGTCACTTGGCGTGATTCTGTACACGATGCTCGTCGGACAGTATCCATTCTACGAGAAGGCCAACTGCAACCTCATCACTGTGATCCGTCACGGCAACGTGCAGATACCCACTTCGCTCTCAAAGTCGGTGCGGTGGCTCCTGTTGTCGCTGTTACGCAAGGACTACATGGAACGCATGACCGCCACCCACATCTTTCTGACGCCGTGGCTGCGGGAGCAGCGTGCGTTCCATCTCTATCTGCCCGTGAATGTGGAAGTGGCCGAGGATTGGGACGAAACGGGGGACAGCGATGATGCCGCTGCAGTCATCGACGAAGATGAAGGCGGGCTCTGCCCCCTGGGGGATAAGCACGAGTATGCGGATATCGGTGTAGAGCCACTCGACTATACGCGCAGTACACTGCAAATGGCCCAAGCCAATGCATTGAGTGCGGACGTGGAAATGGGCTGATCGACGCACCGGAAGTCCCCCACGGGTTGCTTTTATGGTGACGCTTGGAAGCAGCGTTAGCTGCTTCTCCATTCAGTTGAAGCTGAGGAAACAAAAAAGCACATGGCCTCGCCGAGTGGTGTCATGGCAATGCAATTGTGGCTATGGGTTGCTCCCACACTATTCCGGTCCGATCCGCTCCGGTTCGGGGCGCGCTTAAACTGAATGCGTTCCACATCTTCCTGCAGGTGGTACTGCCAACAAAGACTTAAAGCCTCGCTTAAACTCTCTCAGACACAAGAACTCACTGCCTTCCAATAAACACAATGACGGAGATTTGTTTATGAATTCGTTCTTCGTACTCTCTCGCCTTTGTAACCGATTCTTCCTAAAACAAAAACCAACTTATGTACAATATTACATTATAATTTTTTGTAAACTGTTGATCTTATCAAAAGACAGTCGCCCTGATTTTTTTTTTTTTTTTTGGGCTCTAAAAACATTTGTTTCCTTGTTAAAAGTGCGACGAATGCAAATTGTTATTTATTATATAAAATACTTTTTTTTTTGTATTTCGCTTGGTCTGCCTACTATTAGAAATCTTTTAAGAAAATATCGTAAAACCTAATAATAATACATTAAAATTTGATCTCACCAAGAACCAAACTGACTACAAATCTATCTATATTTCTATGTTTTTCTTGGAGACAGCCAGCTTATGAACCTTGTGGAATTATATTAAAGAAAGCATACTTCGCTTGAACCTTTTTGATTTCGTATGAACATGTGGCTCGTGGAGGCTAACTCAACTATAGTTGGGCATGTAGTACATGTAGAACTTTCTAAATTTAAGTTTAATACAAAAGGACTTTATAGTTCATTTCCGCCAGATCGGATAAGATGTAGTATTATTACCTGGTGAGAGACTTTTTTTAGTTTAGAAAGATCTGGTAAATAGGCGGAGATGGGATACCGAAGGGTACCAAGAGCTTTCACTAGCTAAAGGTAACAGCTTGGAATAGTTATAGACAAATCGCAAAACTTCATTATGATATGATTGGTTACTGGATTTCAATTCATTATTTAAAAAATGATTTTTGAGATATATTCTAACTGAAAAGGTTATAAATTTGAAATTAATTTTTCGAAGATCAATCAAGACTTTTCAGTTAAAGGTCCAACAAATTCTTGCTAAAGCTCGGGCTATTTTGTTGATTATGCATTAGGAAGGTTTTAGCAAGTTGAAGGGGGAAGAATAATAGTATTTATCATGATGGCGAACGTGACTTCCAGAGCACCATGATTACTTTTTGCCATGCAATATCAATAAACTGACGCCACTGGGGCTAACTGATATTATGAACGGCAGGGTATTTTCCTATCAACAAGATTCCCCAACACCACTGTCTTCCGACATGCCGACGTGACGAGGGGCTGCACATGTGTGCATACTTACGGATTGTATATGTACATCGCGTGCACATGTGTGTGTGAGTGTGTGCCGACCTACCTGTGCTCGAGCACAACACTTCCATTCGTCGTCAGATTATGAAATTGCCGACTGAATGAGAACTGCGAGCGAGCTTACTGCGCAAAACGCAAAAACTGCTGACAGCGACGTCACCTTCGCACATTGTGACTCTCGAATTTCAGAGCTCAATGCTTATTCTAAGATATCAGTTATAGGTTCCAGAATGTTCAGATAATGTTAGGAAACGTAAGAAAACGTAAGTAACGAACGTATCGTAGTTTAAGTTGGCTATTAATTAAAAGAACGTTATGAAAACATCTGCAGCATACATTTATCGAAATTTTATTTCTTCATTCTGGATTCAGGCTATCCCAAATATGCAATCGTGACCATTTTCAGTAGATAAGTAGACAAAGGCCATGTCAATTCGGATTGCCATAACTAGTAACAGCAGAAACAGCATCACATTTTCCCTCCTCACACGCACTATTATAGCTGGCTAAACTAACGTGAAACTCAATTAGAATTGAAAAACTTATGTGCCATAGTCTGATGTCTGTGAAATTAAAACCAGTGTAACAAACCAACAAAATTCACTTTCAAAGTTCTAACATGTAAGTGCCCTTACAACTATTAAGTAGACTAGAACCATGTCAACTACTTTCCACGACCCCAACTTTTCAAAGCCGTTCCACTTTGTATGTAGTTTCTCTTAATAACGTTCTCTAGCTTTCCAATTTCTAAACTATTTCGATTCATCCAAGTACACTTTCGTACGGTATAAAAACCAATCAATTACGTGAGATTGATTTATTCGGAATTAAAGTAAAAATCTCGAACGAGATGCGATATACTTTCTAGACAGATCAAACAATTTCCACGACATTTTTTTTCAATCAAATGTTTTCTTCAGGTATTTAGCACAAGTATTTCGGCGGAGCCTCGTGACTAATTGCGGAAACTGTGTACTAAATAACTGCAAACTTTTATAGTATAGGTGCACTGTACGCACAGACGCAATTATATATACAATATATATATTCGGGACCACTGTCCCCAAAATTTTCAGTTCCTCATTATTTATTTATACAGCCGGCTTACATCGACAGATGCAAATCTCTTGCGTGACGTTCTGAATTTAGTTTTTATAATTAATATAGGTGGTCACTCCACTCGGATATCTGAATTTAAATTTGTATTCAGATAGGGGGTATCTCTACAGAAGCCCAATCAAGCAGAAGAACTCTTGTTTTAACGACAGTCTGAATCACAAGAGTCTTGCTTACGAAATCCGGCTGCTCCTGCTCTTACAGTCCCTTAGAATTAAGCATACTTGTACTCTTTAAGTACAGGGTATACAAAAATGCACTAAATTTTTAATAGTACCCACAATTCAGCAAGTAACGGAATACCCTCAGCGCAATCATACAAATTTCAAACAAAAACTCGCAAATAAAATACTATCTCTTCTTTTCAACTTTTGGTATTTTTCAAGAGATTTTTTTCTTTTAGGATTCAGTCACACTGAAAACTTTATTTTGACCAAAAAATGTAAATAAACCATATTTTTTTCGTAATTCCATTGAAATTATAATGAAGATCACAGATCTGAACGTTGACTGTCTTCTGGTGATTTTCAAGTATTGCTCTGAGAGCGAGTTGATGTCCCTAGGCAAGGCTAACCAGTACCTAGGAAGGATTATAGATGCTCACATTTTTTACCCACTTACGAGGGACCTACTCTTGTGCGGCCATAGAAATGAACCTTGTGTGGAAAAAAGGTCTGAATAGTTGAATAGGATGTGGAAGCGAAGGCAGTGTCTGTTAACAGAATATCTTATCATCGTTCAGAAACAAAACGCGTCTTACTTATCATGAGAGACTTCAAGTATCGCGAAATTGGCTGAGCGGAACATACCGCGAACGTCCCTACTATCACCATGCGCATCTGTTCCCAACGAAGTTGTGCCTCGAAAAAGACGCCTTGTACGTCACGCATGACAGTTATATACGCAAATACCGGCGACCAACTACCGAAGCCCTACCCCGATTGTTTGACGAAGAGATCACCACTCCCACGAGAAGCGACATATCGGACTTTGTAAAGAGGCAAGACACACTCTTTGCGGGTCGAGTCTGCGGCGCGTGCTTTTTGTGCGATGAAAATGGTATCACCGAACAGCAAATGCACCAGCCCAACGAGTATCTATACTGCGTCGACTTCATAAATGACGTATATGTCACCAGCACCGATACATGCTGCAAGGTGTGGCAGCGTTCCCAAGAGTTTGGACTGACGCACTTTGATCTGGCCATGAAACTGCAGCATTCATTCAAGTCTCTGAAATTGAGTGCTAATGGTGAATGGCTCTATGGGGGTCTCTACACAGACAAAGGTCGGCGTGCATTACGGGCTATCCACGTGGACAGGTAACTATTTATTTACAGACCGCTCATTTTTCAATAATGCTGACCCGATTTGTTTCCACAGTGGCGAGGAGGTTGTTCACAGCTCAAACACAATTTCCATATATGATCTCAAAATAAAGGATGAGCACATTCTTTTCACGGCCAATTTCGATACAACATTTAGAATGTTTGACCGACGCGTCGATCGAGATGTTGCCATTTGGGAGGATCCGTTCGACTCGTCCTTTTACTGCCTTGAGTACGATGGCCTGTATGCGGTGCTCTGCGGCACCAATCGACATGCCCGCGTCAATCTCTACGACATTCGAATGCCCAAATACGTGCAGTTGTTCTTTCCCGGCCGTACGCGTCAGCGGAACTGCCAGTCGCCCGTTTACAGTCTAGCCTGTGATAGCCAATATTTGTTTGTGGCCACGGACCACAATCTGCGGGTGTTCGACTTTAAGGCCAACTGCGGTGTTCGCAGGGACTATAGCCACATCTATGATTTTAATGGCTAACAAAGAACCTTGTTTTCAATTGTCAATGGCCAAAAAATGTATAGCAGATTACCCGTAGACTTATGCACTAGATATTCACATCCAAAAAAATCGGTTAAGCCATCCTTTTTAGTTCAAAGAATGCCAGCTAAGTAAAAGCGAATAAGGCTGTATATACGATACAAAATATAACATACAGACGGATCACTACAGATGTCTATTATTCTGAAAAAGGCCGCGTTGCACTTTAACCATTTACTTATATATATCTTTTAATTGTTAACGAAGTAGAACAACAATAACACTGCTGGGGACATTTGAAAAATACCCATAATCCAGTAGGATTATGTGGAAGATCCCTGTAGTTGAGGCTTTCAATGAAGCGACGAATTTTTTCAGATCGTGTTTCCCAAATCTGGTTGAGATCTCCTTCTATAGAGCGCAGGGCATTCACATACGATGGGTTCCGATGGTTTCTGCTGCATCGACAGGATTCTATGTTATCTCTACTAGTTTAAATTTGTTGTATTGATATCTAAGCTTGCAGACCAGGTCTTACTAAAAAAGAGGTGGCAAACAAATAATGCGAATATGTAGAATCATCAACAAAGTGTGTAAATATTTAATGGTAAATTGTTAAAAAAAAAACTATATTTTTTTAAAACAAATTTTATTGACCTGCCGACAAATTGGAACCACAAAACTTATTTGCTAAATTAGAAACTTTAAAACATCCACTTAAAAATCATGTACACAAACGTTATGATAGAAACTTATAAGTATGCATGAATATCGTATCGTATCGTAAAGCTACATATAGACATATGTACCTTGATGCATGTATGTAATACGTGATGTACATGGACTGTACGTTGCGCGCGAGACTTTACTTTGACTTTCAAATTGCAATTTCCTGGTCTAGTTGTATTTGTAATACGTTTCCGTGAGCTATAATCTATCACTGTAGAAAATTAAACTAAAACTACCAGAAATCGTTGTAACATATGTATACTCGTATCTTACAACGTTATGCTAGTAAAATTCACTTATGAAAGTGCACAGACACGTGCATATGTTCGTCAAATCGGTAAGGAAAGGAAAGGAAAGCGGAAGTTCGGCTCAGATTGGGGGCCAAAATTGGTCGTGATTTTTTTAGCAGGCACTTTTATCTATTCTGTAATTTCATGCATTTACAACTGGCGGCAACCTTGCGATGTATAAAAACGTGTATAAACTTAAGCCGAAAAAAAATTATGTTGAATACCGAGATAATAGTCTGCAAAGGATCGATCCATTTTTCATATTTCCATTGCCCAAGTAATCTTAGGTCTACTGTACACGGAGGAACATGGTGCTACAGCGACTACCTAGTAGAGTGTTTGCTTGCTGGCGAGAGCGGCGGTGATTTCTCTGAAGGCTTATCAGCTGTGGAAGGGATCGGCGGTTCTGCCGCACACGCACTCGCATCCGTGACTAAGTGCTCAGCGCACTGCGGATGGTCAAGGCCTTCATTCAGAGCAGCTGCTAGCTCGCCATTAAATTGCAGTAGACATCCCAGGGCACCAAAATATCCCTCATGCTCCAGGAAGAGTCCCTTCATTGTGCCATTCGACCAGAACTCCATAGCGTACGCCAGCAGCTTCATGGATATGGGGTTTACACGTAGAAAGTTTCCCACAAAGACCACCTAAAAGATTTATCAAGTTAGTCTGCGATTCCAACCGATCTTGTGTTAATATTCTACCCTGTCAATCTTCTCATTCAGTGCACACATCCGTGCTATGGAGCCAATATTGTTGGTTATAGTGACTAGTGTGGCATTGGCCAGGTCTTCGCGGGACACTGAAACCCGCTTGTCATCGATGTGCATTTGGCCAAAGCTGAAAACAAACGGATCGAAATATGTACAAAAACTGGCTTTAAAGGGAATCCCGGCTTTTATCGTGTGTTACCTGGATGCCACCAAATCTCCGGGCAGACCAAAGCGATTATAATCGCCGCCATAAATGTCCTTTACCAACTTGTCCACCTTCCTGTTGTCGCCCTTGGTAGCTAGCTGTATAGCTTCCTCAAAGGTTGTGCAGCCGGTCAGCAAACAGCATAGTCCGAGGAATGTACCGCCGCCCAAGCTAAACAAAAAGAAAAGCGAAGCCAAGGAATTAGGGAGGAGGATCCTTTTGCTCTATTATGAAATGTACCAACCTTGTGCCTGAGATACGCTTGTAGTTGTCGGGTCCGTAGACAGCCAGAATGGACACACCGGAGCCAACATTCACCAATATGAATGGAAATGGTTGCGAAAAATTGAATGCACGCTTCTCGCTTTTGCTGCAAGAAAGAGAATCATCGAAACTACATACATAAATAGTATAATATGGATGTGTCTGATGTGGTGTGGCCTTTACTTACATGATGTCTCGTGCGTTTTCATAGTAGTAGCATTCGGTGCGATTGTGGAGATCGGCAAAGAGTATACCCTTGATTAGCGTATCGAGCTCGTCGAATTTGGCCAGCTTCATGTTGACCTGATCGCGAAAATCCTTCTCGAATTTGAACGCTCCTCCCCCCGTGGCGCACACAGTGGTCACCAGTTCGGCCATGCCTTTTTGCTTGGCCAGGGACAGAAAGTTGCCCATATCTGTGGTCTGAAACCTAATGAAATGCAGGGACCCTCGTCTTTTACGTATCTCCACATTGTCCATCTGCAAGAGATATGATTAAAGAAAGAGTTAATCATATATAAGAAGTTATTTATAATTCAAAGAATCGTTGTACTTCGAGTATTTGTTCTTTTTGCATTGCCTTGTGCGTCACAGTGCGTTGTGCAAGATGCTTTGAAATGGAACATTCCAAGTACTACTTCGTATATATTAGAGGCCAGTTTTTTTGGCCAGGAACACGAGTGCACTAAGCTTCATAAATATGCCAATAGACTGACGACTCGACGCGCCCCATTAAAAAAACAACAGCCACAAGTGCAAAAGTCAACGATCGCGCCATGTAAGCTTTTGTCGTCAAAGCCTTCCCTTCCTACAGTGCGAGTACGTAAACATTTATATGTATGTATCCGTAGTTTCGCTATTTATTCAATGTACCTTTTGGCACTGCCCTATTGGGTAGTAGTTTGTATTTCCATGTGCCAGCCCGACAGGCAGCCAGCCAGCCAGCGAGCGTGCGCATCTCTGATTTGACATGCAGTTGAAATACGGTAGAAGTGTTGCTCTTTTGAGCTTAAATCTCCATCATCAGCTATAGAGGATTCACACGAATGTTTGTGAAACGACGCACAGCCCTAAACTAAGCACTCCAGTGCGGTGATGTGCAAACGGAAATTTTAGACACACAGAGAGACCAGCGTGCATATGAAATCATCAGACGGCGACCCATTCCGACCTGCACAAGGTGCCTTGTTGACTCTAGACGCGCAAATATCGCCTCTTGATCATATTTTAGATGATAATGACGATGATGATGGAATAATGGCCCTCAAAAGTGCTTCTTCCACATTTTGTTACAAAAGGCACACCACACCCATGCCATCCAGTATTCATGATGAAATGCAACGAATGTCATCAACCAAAAGTGCTTGGGTCTAAAGGTGATAATAGTATGGTATATGAGTGCCCTTGAATCATTGATCAAACTCTGCCTCTGTCTGCCTCTCTGCTCGTGTGAGCGGAGGGGGATCACCTTACCTGTAAGTGCGTATCGCGGTGTCCGGTTTTGCCATATGCAGAGTTTTTGGTTAGATAACGTCGTATATTCCGTAAAATGCCCGCCTCGCGATCCTGTTCGTCTGGCGTTATATCCTTGGGTTCGAAGTAAACCAATTTTGTGAGGGTGCCGCCAATGTCCATGCCAAACCATGGCATTGCTGAAAAAACGGGGAGAAACAAGTCAATATTTAGAGATGATGGCATTTCATATTGGGAAACACTTCAGTCGACCTTCAGCTACGTCCGCCCTATCAATCTGAGAAATCAGAGAAATCTGTGATGTGCTGTGCGTTTACCTATCAGGAGTTTTCGTCTCCCAACTGCCCCTCTATGAACTTGACAGAGGATACCGCTGCGTTGTAGCACCTCCATATGTCTCAAAAGGAAATCCCATTCCAGTTGCCACTGTTTGTTCACTATATCTTTTATCTATATGTATATTAACGGGAACTGTGCCACCCTACACTTTACACGATTATCATTGCTGATATCCGAAATTGATTAAATTTTAACTGTCAAATTTTTTATATGTATTTTTCTAGGGTTGCAATCATTCCAATAACCTCGAAAAAGAAAAATTTCAACACTAAAAAATATATACAATATAATATATAACAAAACATATATGTATACACATATTTATAGCTATAGCTCCTGCATGATACATCACATTGATGCTTGACGCTCGGAAAGCACAAGGGAATACCGCAAATCACAACAAATTGCATGTCTTGTGCGAGAATTTTTTGTTTTTATTGTTGCACACCGCTGGTGTTGCAGCACCCAATTTGTGTAGAATGGAACTAGACCGAATAATGCTTGTAATATCGAACCAAATTCAAGTCTCGGGCCAAGTTTGTGCCGCAAAGCCAAGCAACTAGTTTCCAAAACATTACAAGAGCAAAAAAGAAAAGAAATCGAACTTCAAACTGCTGACCGAATGAATGTTTGAAAGCGTTTCGGTTCATGTTCATTGTGTCAAGATCGAAGTGGCCGAGAAACTATGTCACACACAAGCATATAAATGCACACCCATGTATGATGTATGTCGATGTCTGTATGGGTGTATCTTGAGTTGCACGCACCGCTTTGGATGATAAGATCAAAGATCGATGTAAAATGTAGCGCCTCCGGCATGATGTAACCCGCCGTATTGTTATTATGAACGGAATGCGAGTGTATGCAAATAGCAGCAAATAAATTATTCCGCAGTTGAGGTACGCGAGTGAGAGGCGTAGAACGCGCTGCACATAACACGGAACTTGTAATCTAACACGCTTTCCGTTTACGTTTATTCGGTTCCACCCAATCCCATATGCACACACAGCCAAGTGCGTATTTGAGGTACATATATGTACATATGTATGAATGTGCAGTTGATTATAACTTTTTCTACACTTTATGTACAGATATCGTAAGGTATGTAATCGTATAGGTAGAGCGATTAGAGCGGGCGACCATAAACCGGAAACATTTTACTCTCACACAACCGAAGGCACAACGCGTCGATGGCTTCCAACTGCCGACTGAGACTGACGGATTATATATTAGCCGTCAAAAGCTATTGAATATTGGCAACAATTGGGTAAATCGAATCGAATCGAATCGAAACATGTGCGCCCCCGAAAGGGCGTGTCGGCGAGTAAATACACCGTTTCTTATCTGCACTTTGCTCGCGTCGGTTATCGCAGGTTGAATAAATGTCTAAAATGACCAAGTACGAGTACCAAGTATTTGACCACTCAATGAGACAGTGATATTATGTACGCGCCAGTACGAGACGACTGCTTTACTTGACTACCATAGCGCTAAGGTCGTGCCTCGATCAGTACGTTTCGATCATAGTACAAGCGATTGAATGTATTAAAACTATATCTTTGCCAGTCTACTATATAGAACATACATATGTACATATATGTTATACAGAAGTTGGTTCGCCTAGAGAAGTGAGATTGAAGTTTAGCCAAAGTTTCCAAATTACTTCTATTCCATTCATTATCCACCCTATTATTGGGTTTGGAATCTCCCACTTGAACTGTCTACAAAATCTATCAATCAAATGTTCGTACAATTATTCCGCAGCAAAGACACATACTACATAAGTACATATGTATGTTTGGTGATTATTCAGTATCTCGATCAGACAGAGACATATTAAATCTCTCTATCTGTATAAGTCTGACGGAATTTCCTTGTATTATTCCTAGTGGAAACTTACACATCAGCTCATCTACAGGCGAAGCGGCAGGGCTTGGGCTGGGGCTATGGCTGGGGGCAGTAGACAACATGTAATCGGAGGAACTTTGACGCTTGTTTTGATGTTTTTGTTGTTGTTCAAAAAATGGAGGAGAGCTCGCATCCATCTCCTTCGTCGACGGCTCATTCGTCGAACTGGAGGAGTCCTTGGAGCCGCTTCCCATAGCCTCACGCCATGCAGTGCGCCAAGAGTTTCGTTTTGTTGAGATCACAGGTGAGGTACTACTAGGTGGAGGTGAGGCGGTGGGTGCCAGCGAGGCGCTTGTGGATTTCTTATCGTTATGCAATTTGAATATTTTCAAATTGAATGAATATTTTGAGTCGCGCGTCGGAACTTTCATTTTGGCTGATTTTCTCTAAAAAAAAAAGTAGTACACACAACTATATCACAGGCTTTGCTTAAAGCAAACAATTGCCGCTTATTTACAACGAACGTAATGTAGCTTCAGATTTAAACAAAATTTCATTTAAATTTCCTATGGCTGTGTGGAGAGACTCGACTCGAGACTCGTCTCTATTTGGGTTTTTGCTTTGAGAAGACGAACAGCACAGCCAACGACGTGCGATCGCGCGATCCGATCCGTAGACCGTTCGAAAACAGGCATGAAACGCGTTTGAATGAAATTTTATTGTCACTTCGTACGAGCCGAACACCACCGACGAAAACAGCGGCAACGGCAACGCCGAAAGTAAATCAGCGCCAGGCAGGCCAGCGCTTGTGTCGACGTCACCATTGCTTTCGCATATGTATAAGCTCGTCTTGTACATACATATACGTACATATGTACATACATATATGCATATGTTCATATAGACATATACGTATAACCGTATTAATGAGCGGAGACATCGTCGAGTCGAAATGAACTTAAACATTACGAAAATACATTTAAAACAAATCCAAAGCAACAACGACCTAGTATGAACCCTCGCGAGGAGACGGGAAGGGACGTAATCGAGCTTAGCATTTTGGTGTGCGTGTACGAGAAGAGAACCCAAAGTCGTTCATCTCTCCGATGCTAGATGCATGTCTTCTTCATCCATTCATGGTCAGGCCTCAGACACTCTTTTCACAGCGACCACATCATGATAAGAGGAACTGGGGCGGTGCAAAAGAGCATTCGCAGAGTGATGAAAGTCCATGGGACAGTTCATATGTTCATAGTCTCTAAATCAGTCACTGTAACCACACATACATATAATTATCATAGATCTGACCTTCGCATGCTGCCACACACCAAGTACATAGATCACTTGCGATAATGCCATCCCATACATATCTACATAGTTTAAAACATGCAGAACATGAAACAAGACAGTTTGTGTAGAAAAAACTTACCTTTCGCCAAATGGTAGCTTAGGGATATCGGATCATCTTCTATCATGCTGATATTCAATATTCAATTGGCCACTCTGCCACCGAACAATAGAATAGAAAGCCAACGGGTCGGACACAAATGCTTACAATTTTCGCAAAGGTTTGCAGTAATTGCAGATAGGGGCGATGACTTTATCGGGGATCGGGGCTTGTGGTAAAAGCAAACTTAGGACGTCAAATGATGTGCTAAGCGGCGCTGGCTGGGACCGTGCAGTTCTACATATGTATGTATGTATGTGTATGTATGTGGCACGGTTGGAGCTGGAATTGATGCCCTCGAATCCTTGTGCAAAATATGATGTATTATTGTTTTCCAAAGCGTTCGGAAAGATGATATAAGTGCTGCTCTATTGAACCGACAGCATTATTGTTTGTTTATGCCACGATCTCACAATAAAAGCTTCAAAACATTTACGAGAATTTATTTATTAATTTTCAGGGATCAGATCAGCTGTTGTAGCAGTGTGACTGAGCCTCAGATATATACCGAAATATACCGTCTCATTTTCAAAATATACCGATAAGAAATGTTGTTGTATTAAAAAAGTTACAATATTCTTTCCTTTCTTGCTTAGCCTTGAAACTGTAAAATACAATATTTTTCTTTATGTAAAATAGTCTTAATATTATAAAACAGATGACACTAATCATTATATTCATCATCAGTGTAATTTTCCTTGGCATTTGGGAAAAGCATTTCTTGTTCCCGTTCAAAATAAGCAAGAAAATACACTGTTTTATAGTGGTATATTTATTATCACTTTATTTATACCTTCATCTCAATTTTCACGTCAAAGTACACCGAAGAGTAAGTGATGGTACCAGTGCTGTTAGGTGTTTAATAGATACAAAAATACTCCATAACGGCTCAACATCTTGTTGCCATTTTAAAATATTTAATTATGTAAAATGTATTGTATATGTAAATGTGTACATACATTATATACTGTAAGGTTAGTGCTGAAACCCAGAACAAGGCCTATATATTACGGGCTCATTTTGAAGTTACTGTAATGGGTTTGTGTGTTGAGTATGTGTTGTTATTTTATTTATTTAAATTCTTCTTTTCAAACTTTCCAGCACTGCAAAACAGCTGGTAAAACTGTCAAGACACGGAACAGAACAAAAACAAAGAATCAGGCATTTAATTTATTTAATCTGGAAAGTGGATTTAAAAACTGAGCGCAATGGCTCGTGATACGGAAAACTCAAAATTTAGTTTCCCTGCTTGCTGGGAAGACGTAGAAATTATGCAAATTAATTTCGCAACGTTTCGCCCGCGTCATTTAAACATTGAAGATTATGAGACAAAGATGAAATTCTGGAAAGATCTTGTAACGCAATACCTCAAGTTTTGGGGCCAAATTACGTTTAGTTTGCGGGATCTGCAACTAAAACTCATGAGAGGCGACCAACTGCCTGCCTGTCTGGATACAGTTTTATCGGAGATGTACCAGCAGAATCAGATCCGACCGCGCACCGATCATGATCCAGAAAATAGCTGGACCGGATGGCTGATAAACAGCCTGGTAAAACGTCCTTTATCCTGGAGCTGGCTCAAGTTAAAGCACAGCGTTGTGGGCGAGGATGTGGAGGCGACGAAACTAGTGGAATGGATACATCTGGAAGTTTTAAATGTAAGGAGAACACACAATAATTTTAACTGCTTACAATCGTTGACTCATTCGCACCCAGGACATTTGCGGCCTTATGATTAAGAAGATATTGCCCGAGAACCGAGGAAAACTGTTCCATTTTGATGCGTTCAAGTCCCTTTGCGACGTCCATCACATTCGCATCCATGCGGAGAAGGACATCTTTGCTTGCCTGATCACCCTGCATGCCCGTCATCTGGTTGGGTTGGAGTTCAAAACCGAAAAGCAAGCGCGTTGCATTCATTTAATAAAAATACCATGTAAGTGCTGAGACACTGACTATAACGGAGAGCCAATACTGATCCCTAACTTTATTCAATGTAGTCAAGGAAACAGACGATCTTAGCATTAATGAATTAGATCTTGGCGTTCACCGTCTACAGATCACACAAGCAGATCTACTTAAGCAGCTGCAGAACCTAGAGGAGGAAATCAAGGCAAACGACGAGAAGGCGCGTCAGTACATAAAGGAGAATAAGCGGCAAATGGCCAAGACGTACCTTCGCAAAAGGCATCTGGTTGAAAAGAATCACGGTAGTGTAAATGATCCCTCTCAGCCTTGGCTACAGTTCTTTAACTCTTTCGATTGTGATTTTCAGAGCGACGCAGCCTTGCACTATACAACATTGAATTGCTCCTTTCTAGCGTGGAAGAGGCCCAAAACAGTGGCGTAGTTCGCGATGCATATAAAATTGGCTCCAGCACATTGCAAAAAATTCTCTCCAACTCTGGCCTCAAGTACGACAATGTCGATGAAGTTCTGGCCGATGTGCAAGAATCTCTGGAACAGCACCGAGAGGTCCAAGATGTCCTGTCCAATGGCGTATTAGATACAGCCTCCACCCAGGAAGATGATCAGCTCGAAAATGAACTGCGCGCTCTGTGTGGGGAAACTAATTCAGTATCGAATGCAGCAGTTATCAACAACAACGAGAGACTGGAGGTCGTAATTAGTGATCAAGAGATGATTGAAATGTTGGCAAACCTTGAAGTTGAGGAGGCTAGCGTCTCTCTACCAAGTACCAGAACCGTTAAACCCTGTAAGAGTGTTAGCAGCGCATAGTTAAAACTTTGTATTAGAGTTTTTTTTTTTATAATTTTTATTTAAGCTATGCCAAAAATCACTTTGGTGTTTGATTTGTGCATTAAAGAGATTCCGCACGAAAAGTACGTTTATAGTTTGCTTTATTCTATTTTCATTCTGTACAAAATGCGTCCTTATAATAAACTATGGCTTATGGCTATGGCTAGACAAATGTTTCCATAAGTAGGAATTCGAAAATACACGAGACATACATGCTTTGTTTTCCTATCCATGATAGTATCATATACAGAACGAGAAAAGTGTACATCCAATATATTGTAAGGCAATACAGCGAAATGCTTCGCATCGCCCGAGGTGCATGTGCCGCTCCAATACTCCAGTACTCGTACCATGCTTTGCATAATATATACATATATGTATAGGCGTATAAATATAAGAAATCCGAAGCACTTTTCGAAATGCTTCTTTGTTCAGGTTCGGCCTTTATATATTATATATACATATATGTACTTATATATGTATAAATCTAATAATCACTAAGGCAAATTTGCGCTCCTATGTATTGCAGACACGCCACTCCCAGTCCAGTCCCATAGGGTTTGTTATGTGTGGATTTGGAAAAGTATCAAAATACTTAAAATCGTACAGATAAAGCAGATCAGTACCGGCAGGATGACAATAAAACGCAGTGATCTGCAAATAAACAAAAACTGTTAGGTGAATTATGATTCTTTCATTATGTTTTACGAACCTTCCTTGCCCTAGGGCCGGGTGTCAGAGATTCAGATCCATGTCAGCCTCAAGATCAATATGGTTTATCGAGTTGGCCGTGCTATTGAAGATTTGATTATCGGATGTGCTGTTGTTGCCCGTTGGCCCCGCTGTGGTCCCGCTGTTGTCTCCGCCCGTACCTCGCTTCGATTTACCTAGCAGCCAGCAAGAGAACACTTTTTCCCAATTTTGCACATTAATTATCGCGAAGATGGATTTGAGTTTTTACATGAGAGAGCAAGGAAATTATAACAAAAGGAAAATCGTAACTAGGCCTCAGAGAACCGATGAATTTATATACATAAGTAAAAACCGCCGTCGGCGACTTTTTCCAACACAAAAGTAATTTTAAGTATGTTAAAAACATCAAAAATTGTGTGTGAAAACTAGTCCGATTGAAGCCTTAGCTCGCCTGAACTTTTGGAGGTGTCTGGGTACACATGTTGGGATGTGGGATGTGGGAGAGATAGAATGAAGAGTGTGTGACCACTTACCTCCTGTAAAGCACAAACAGCCCTCGTCATCGCTGGGCGAGTCTCGACGCGAGCTCTTTAGCTTTACTTCCTTGTTCAGCTCGTTTAAACAGCGCTGATAGTAGTCGTAGTCCTTCAGATACCACACGGGTGGCCAGCGATGTTCCCGCAAATATTCTTGATTATCCTGGTGCAGCGCCTTCAGGCCCTTGAGTGAGAACTTACAAATAATGTTGTAATTGACGCACAGATACGACATGCACCATTCGGCCAACTGATGTGCGTTGTGCAGCTGCGCGGGAAAACACAATTAGTAATGCAAATACTTCACAATGGCCAATTACTAACCTTTACTGGCTCCAGCAACTTTAAGCAATGATCCACTGTTTCATTGGTTTCGTTCTGTGAAATTAGTGTGAGATCCTCGATGACTCGGCACTCAACTAGATTGAGCAGACGCGGCAGGCATAATCGATTGGCTAGCTCTAGCAGATTGAGACATTTGACGGCCGAAATAGGTGGAATCTGGTCAGTGTACAGATAGCACAGTAGCTTATGGAATGTGTAGATTGTAACGCCAGGGAATACGATCTAACACACAAAGAAACTTGAGATTGTTAATAAACACACACACACATAATAGCAAATCCTACTACTGCATCCTCATCTAAGACTCTTACCACATTGGAATGGGCTTCGCGAAAGTCGCCTAGCAGCATGGCGCGCATCACGTCGCACCGTCCCACCAGTACAGCCCGGTGTGCCTGTAAGAATTACAAAATTTACCGAAGAAAAATATTTTAAGTAGACGTGGGCAGGGTTTTTATACACGATACTTATAGAGTATGGGGGTATATTCGATTTGTGGTGCAAGTGGCTGTGTAACACCCAGAAGGATGCGTTTCCGATACCATAAAGTACAGACAGGTGTATTCCTCTAAGCATCGATAGCCGAGTCGATAGAGCTTTGTCGGTCTGTCCGTCTTGTTTGACGCCTAGTTCTTAGAGCTCTAGAGTAACCAAATTTGGTGTACAGACCTCTGTGATATCACACTGAATCAAGTTTGTTTCAAAATGTTTGTCCCGCCCCCTTCCTTGCAGAATCATAGAGAATGATCATATCCACCAGATTGCCGAATCTGGATAAGATTGGATCATTTTTATAGACAAAAGGAACAAATGAAAGTGCAGTGGCAACGGTACGCCTTTCACGCGCTTACTAATTCTCTCTCTCTCTCTCTCCCCCCCTTTTTTCTGTCTGTCACACTCTTCCTCATGCAGTGTGCGCGCTCTGTCGGAGGGGAGGCAGATATAAAAAAGCTCACATGTACATATACTAACTGAGGATCGGGTATAAACATAGAGTCGCGGCCCTTGCCGTTTAAAAAACATAAAAAAAAAAATAAATAAATAAAATCTTTATCATATTTCGGTCGTGCGTCTGGTAGACAGCAGTTGTCGAACAATAAATAAATCTCGGAGCAAGGACGTGGCTGCCTCTTCTCCAAATATATATCCTCTCACCTTCATTAAACCGTCATCCAACTCGAAGGTGACATCGCTGAAGCAGCCGTCCCCAATGCAATGACGCTCCAGACTTTCTTTGATGCGCTGAAATAGTAAGGAAAGAGCGAGTTAAATCGGAATAGACATAATCAGAAGGCATAGCTTACAAGACAAATGTGCGGATTTGGTTCATCACTGGAGGAGCTGTCCATAACAGTTTGTGGCTTGGACAGAAGCTGCGTCAATTGCGGAAGTTCTAACAAATCGGCGGCATCTCTGATTTCCTGTCAGTAAGCACAATCGATTGAAAATGTCACCATGGAGGCAGAATGGCTTTCTTTACCTGCAGATTGTTGCAGCTTTTGTCAATGGTGCCCGTATAAATAAACCTGAGGCATTGGTGCAGGGCCTGGGGCGAGATGAGCTTGCTGAGCGTCACAATTGTTTGCAGTCCGTTCACGCCACGCTGGTTCTCCACCTGCATTAGGCGTATGCTCTGTAGAACAGGATGATGTAGCTCTCTGTACAGATCGTTGGAATGCTTTGACTCTAGAGGCAGGGCCTGATAGCTAGAGCGCCGCTTTAAATGTTCCCACATCCTGTGACCATACAAAAATAAAGGGTGTTAGCCCAGGTTCCAGATTCAAAGACAACTGTCATCACATACCGCTGTGTTCGGGATTCGTAGCGGATTAGAGATTCAGTGTCGTCGTTGAAGTCCGCAATGGTCGCCTCTCCGAACGTTGAGCTGACCATACTGGACTCGCTGCTACTGCGACCTCCCATGTCGCTTAGCTCTGTGCTCAGGAGACGCTGGAATGTACTAGATGCGGCAGACAGCATAAATCTATGCACGGCAAACTTGGTTCCCCCTGACCCCACCAAGATGAGGTCTGTGTAGGCTTGCGACAGGAACATGTTGTAGATATCCTGCCGGTAGTGACCCACCATCACGGTGACCTCTGGTGGCGGCGGTTTAGGCGGCCGAAACGGTGCCTGCAGCAACGGTTTCTGCACCTTCTTCAGGTTTGTCATCCAGAACCGCTGCTGACGCCGGGCAATCAACGCCGAACGGATGGCATTCTCAAACACTTCATTCACGCCGAAGTACGTAAAGACACTGGTCTCGTAGTAGGCAACGCCCAGCTCCTTGGCCACAGCTCGTGCCTCGTCCGGCATGACCAGGTCGCTCTTTAGGGCGGCCCTAAAACAAACAAAAAGAGGCAGAAAGAGGTAAACGTTGGGACTTGAGCTTGAGGTGTGTAAAATAGCATACCGCACAAATGTACCCTTTTCACCAAAATACGACAGATAATTCTCATCGCGGTACATATAACGCAGATCGTTTTTGCAGCCCACGAGTATCACGGGCACATCGGGACAGAAGCGTCGTATTTCGGGATACCACATAACCTTGCAGTTTCGCAATGAAATGGGGCTCGCGATGGAGAAGCACAGCAGCACCACATCGGATCTGCCAAAGAGAAGCGCAAAAGATTAGATACGCTCTAAAAAGGCATTTATTCTATAGAATTGTTGACCAACCGTCCGTAAGCAAACCGTCGGTCTTTGTCATGATCGCCGAATGTATCCCACAGCCGCAGCGAGACATTCACTCCATCGACCACCTCCCATGACCTTTCAAGTACCTTGAAGATAATAAAGGAATTATATGGAATGCATACATGTAGGAACGATTGCAGCTTACGTCTTTGTATATGCGATACTGATCGATCGCCCACACGGTTGGTACATGCGTGGAAAGCAGCTGCGAGAGCGAAACATGCTTGTTGCAGGCTCGTGCACAGATAAGTCGCGTCTTACCCACTGCTGTGTCTCCCACCAGTACGCACTTAACCAGCTCTTGATGGGGCTGTTCGTTATCCATGTTCGACAGGAAGCCAACTGAAAGGGTTCGGGCTCGGGTTCGGGGTTCCCACAACTGGATTCTGGACTATAAAAAGAAAAAACAAAAGCAAATCAACTAATTTTTCTCTATGTAAATATGGTATAAGTACATAGATCAGTAGATTATGGAGGTTTTAGATTGCTTTCGAAGATCGTATACTTATTACTCGCGGAACGAACAAAGAAATTAGTTTTAGATATTTCCTCCTGCCCTTATGAACATTTTGTATTTTGTATTTTTGTGTTGCGGAATAGACGTTCGACTAAAGCTTGTCTTCTTATTCATTGGTTTAACGATATTAGGATAAGAAAATCCATTTTCGGCATGTGCTAATCAAGTGTAACCCTGTCGGCCATACCGTTACCATACGGTGGGGTGTGCTTTCGTCACTAGAGTAATAATTGTACCTGTTCTGCTATGTTTACGTTTTTCAATGGAAACCAGTAAAAGGCGTAAAGCAAGCCACAATTAAGAATCTTTCCATACAGTGGGATATTGCTGTTGCTTTACAAATCGATTCAGATTGGATAAATTCGAGGGCACATGCTAAGTTTTTATTCAACAATCTCGTGAAGTCGAGATATGATAATTAATTAATAATACACAGACGCAGTAAGAACTCTGAAGTCGATATGCTCGACTGGAGAACTATCCAGCACCTTTCTTTTGTGAAAAAAACTTTGAATTTTAACTACCTACATTTGATAGCAAAAATTACCTATAAACTTTAGGTCAGTCATTTATTGTTAGGTTACTGCAGAAGGGACACGCATTTTTGAATGATCTCTTTTAGAGGTACGCGTGGCACGATCCTCTCATACAAAATGACAATGCATTGACCCCTGCCGAGGCACGCACTGGCTGCCGTCCAAGCAGCTCTTTTGGTCTCGTCTCTAATTGAATTTAATTGGAGCTGCAATAACAATATCTGCGCTCAAACCTCAGCGACAAAGAGACCACACACACCAGACACTGCATGTGTAAGATCTGCATTGTCGGGCGATCCTGAGGTCGATCTTGAGATCGAGAGCTTCAGTCTATTTTTGGAACTGGAACAATTCAAATTAAATCAAACATAGGAAGAAGCAATCGATACCCACGGCAGCTACCAACGTTTTAACATTTTTCGATCGAACACAAAAGTACTAGAACTTCTGTAGTTGGAGTTTAAACAACAGATTAACAATTCGAGACTTTCAACAATCAATTGATAATGAAAAGAAAACAAGAACAAGCGCTGGGGCTTCGTTTGATTTGTTTTTGTTTTTGTTTTTTGGCACAATCTTGACTTATAATTGTAATTTATGAAGCGGGAGGCTCAAGTCAAGTAAATAATATTATCGCAAATTACGCCAAAGGAGATAGCAATTAAAGAGGTCGGTCGGTTGCATTGTCAACAAAGATAGAAAGAAACTTAATTATGGGTAATCTAGGTTTAATTTAGCTGAAATTCCAGAGGTTATTCTGTATTTAGATCAAAAGATAGGGTATCATAAGGGTCTTAGTCATGCATCATGCTCTGATTGCCATCTTTTCGTGAATGCCGAAATGTCTCCTTTTTATTTTGCTTGCCTATTGATTTTCTCTTACCCCCCCAACACACACACGCACACATAGCACGAGCACGAACACACACAAACACGGCGCACCTACACTAATAAAATAGTATGTGGATCTTAAAGCTCCCTCACACTCACGCTCTACTCTGAGGTTTTCTTAGGAAAATCTTAGGAAAGGAAACCGTTTAAACAGCCATCCATCCCCGGACACGACCATCGTACATGCCATGTATTAAATAAATTACAACTTTTATGCCGAAGAAAACATCAATCTGACATTCACTTGCACTTTTTAGCACGCATTACCTCTGTGTGGGTGCACACGGTGAATAAACAATTTGTATTGGCAATTGATTTGATTGTCGGTCCAGCTGGATGATTAGCAACTAAATAAATGAGATACAGTGAACACATACCTTGAGCTATCTGCCTCACAAGCTCAAATTGTACGCGTTTGGCCCAATGTTCTTACTTTTGCGTATTGCACTTATCAACACACACACTAAAGCACAACATTTTTACAATAAATTGCCATTTATTTTTGTACCAACACATAAACCACAACACAGGTCCTGGTTAAACGCGCTTCATGGTAAGAAAAATGCCATCGTTGCGTTTCCGCTGCACTGTTGTTGACTCATTAGCTTTTATTTCATGCGGAGTACCAGAATAAACGGATAAAATGCAGTTTCATTTTCAAAATATACATATACCGATGAAAAACCGAACTTATCCCACTTAAGCCCCCTTTATTTAAACAGGATAACAACTAGAGTTAAACCACGGAAAATAATACGAATAATAATTACTCTTGTTGGTCCATCTTCTCCTTTATCTTTGCTTAAGCAAAAACCACGATATCATTTATCTAAACTGCGCTAAAATTCTTTAAGTTTCATCATTTTCGTGAAGAGTATTTTAATAACCACTGGGCTACAATGGGTTAATCGTTCCTGTCCATGATCAGAAATTATATTTCTCGATTTTGATATTTGGTTGAATATTACTCGCTAGATAGGGCTCTCAGTCCTTAACATATAATTTTATCACATTGATGAATATATTTTCTACAAGATTTACTACTTTTAAGTACTCTTTTTTTATTGGATTGTGCTTAAATTAAAGTTTAAGCAAAAATGGTCAAAGCATAAAACGTAAATGTGTTTGGAATTCTACGTAATTGTTGCTGGTCAACAGGTATACGCTATTAGTATGAACACCGTTATACCCTATTTCATTTAATTAATTAGGTACAATTTGTTTTCCTAGCTGATTTGAAACACTACTAATGCCCTTTTTTAGATTTACATGTTTTAGACCAATTTGTGCATAAGATTAAGTTTCCTGTATATATACATATCTCGATCCCGATACCTATTCTTGGTCTCTGTAAGAAGACCATAAACTGCAAAATTTTCGCTGAGATATTTACTAGTTTCTGCATTCATTGGAGCCTGAGATGACAGACATTTCCTCAACTCTACAATATCCTTTTCTCTAGAGTATATGCAGATCGCTCAACAAGGTGTTTTACTGTAAGAAGAAAGTAATATGAAGAGTATAAAAGTATGCATAGAAGTGTATGAGCTATACACTGTGTCCTAAACTGGCAATATTTAAATCCATATTGCACCGCACTAAACTAAATTTTCTAGTTTTAAAGCACATTTTCTTGCCCAGCCAGTCGACAGTCGACAGCGAGTCCTCGATCCGCTACACATAGGAGCCATTGAGGAAAGCCCGTAAGATGAACTTGGTCCTCTGGTCCGTCCACTAGATGCGCCTCCCGCGACCGTCTCTCCCTTTTTCCGTTTCTTTTCCAATCAAATCTATCATGTATGTACATATATATGCATCAATGTACTCTATATGTATGGGTGAGCGAGCGAGTAGAAATTTATGGTGCTACGGATGGTGACTCTGGCCAAAAGAGAGCTGAGCTTTATTTTGTAGACTTCGTAATTGGTAGTTATTGGATATGTTTCCTACATTTCCCCAAGGATTCATCTAATAAATATACCGTCTGACCCTATGAAATATACCGTCTCATTTTCAAAATATATAGTGCGATAGATCGATTGCTTTTAAAAAATATTTTTCTGTATTGTATATCGATCCAATATGAATATTTAACAGAATTTTTTTACGATGTGGCAACTCTTGACGTACATATGTTAATGGTTATTGTTGTTGCAAAACGAACAGTGTAATTACAAATTTTGCAAAAAATTATATTTTATTAATTTACCGGAGGAGAATCCTTCTTATAGGCACTAGTTAAGGCCGGAAACAATTTGACAGATACTCCACTCAATGTATTTTTCCTGTAGAAAATCGATTTTCACCATAACAGCTCTTCTAAGTCGACGGTTCGTTCGTGCATTACATCAAAGACACCACAGTTTAAAAATAATTTAATTTGGCAGATTGAATACACAAAAGTCACAGTTTATAGCTGCTCAGCGATCATTTGGCTCGTTTCCTAAATCCAAGATGACTCTGAGCGAGACAAATTCCCAAAAACTATTACCGAAAAAGCCAGAGCAAATGGAGCCAATTCTGCGGTAAAGTAACAACTGTTCGCTTTGCTGATGATCTCACAAAAATATAGTATGTATCCTGCAGGTTAAACAATATCGAGAAATCGCAGCAGGACACCCGCGACTACCGAGGCCTTCAATTGGAAAATGGCCTTAAAGTACTGCTCATCAGCGATCCAAACACCGATGTGTCAGCTGCTGCACTCTCCGTTCAAGTGGGGTATGTACGTTGCCCGAGGTGGATGGGATTTGTTAATTAATACATATCGGGTCAATTGCAGCCACATGTCTGACCCACACAATCTTCCCGGACTGGCTCACTTCTGCGAGCACATGCTGTTCTTGGGCACGGAGAAGTATCCGCATGAGAATGGCTACACGACATACCTCTCGCAGAGCGGTGGCAGCAGCAACGCCGCCACCTATCCCCTCATGACGAAGTACCACTTCCACGTGGCACCGGACAAGCTTGACGGAGCCTTGGATCGCTTTGCCCAGTTCTTTATTGCTCCACTGTTCACGCCCAGTGCCACAGAGAGGGAGATCAATGCAGTAAATACCCAACTCCATCCTCGATTCACCCAGATATGGGCACTAACAAAAAACTCGTTGCAGGTCAACTCGGAGCATGAGAAGAATTTGCCCAGCGATCTGTGGCGCATCAAACAGGTGCATCGGCACTTGGCCAAGCCGGATCATGCGTATAGTAAATTTGGTAGCGGCAACAAGACCACGCTCTCCGAAATACCCAAGTCCATGAACATTGATGTGCGCGAGGAACTGCTTAAATTCCACAAAGAGTGGTACTCGGCCAACATAATGTGCCTGGCTGTCATTGGAAAAGGTATTCTTGGTTATATTTGGGTTATTTAGAAATTCAAAATGAATATTTACAGAATCCCTCAACGAACTGGAGAGCATGGTCATGGAGAAGTTCTCTGAAATTGAGAACAAAAGCGTGGCGGTGCCAGAATGGCCACGTCACCCGTATGGAGAGGATCGTTACGGACAGAAGGTGAAAATAGTCCCCATCAAAGATGTTCGCTCGTTGACAATCAGCTTTACCACAGACGATTTAACAAAGTTCTACAAATCGGGCGTAAGTTCAAGGTACCACAAGCGTGTGGCTTATTTATATCCATTTGAATAAAATACAGAAAGATTTTGATATCATTGTGGTTTCTTACAGCCCGACAACTATTTGACACACCTTATCGGCCACGAGGGAAAGGGAAGCATATTGTCTGAGCTGCGACGGCTGGGCTGGTGCAATGAGTAAGTGTTCCACCCAATGCATTTCCATGGAGTTGCACTCAACTTAATATTGATTGTGGTTTCTTGCAGTCTAATGGCCGGACATCAGAACACACAAAACGGCTTTGGGTTCTTTGACATAGTGGTGGACCTAACACAGGAGGGCCTGGAGCATGTGGATGATATTGTGAATATTATATTTCAGTATTTGCGCATGCTGCGCGAAGAGGGTCCCAAGAAGTGGATATTTGACGAATGCGTTAAGCTAAATGAAATGAGGTTTCGGTTCAAGGAAAAGGAACAGCCGGAGAATTTGGTCACGCATGCTGTGTCCTCCATGCAGATATTTCCCTTGGAAGAAGTTCTCATTGCACCATATTTGAGCAACGAATGGCGGCCAGATTTGATTAGCGGTCTACTGGATGAGTTGAGGCCCTCCAAAAGTCGAATTGTAATTGTTAGCCAAAGCTTTGAGCCGACCTGTGACCAGGCAGAGCCCTACTACAAAACCAAGTACGGATTGGAGCGCATACCCACGGATATTGTGCAAGTATGTTGAGGCCCCCTACTCCTATTTATTTATAGCACAAGAGCGAAGCGAGCTTGTAGCGGGCTAGCTCCCTAGTCCATAATATTATTATAATATCTAATATTCTTTCAGAGCTGGGAAAAGTGTGATCTGAATGAGAACCTCAAACTGTCACTGCCAAACAGCTTTATACCAACCAACTTCGACATTGCCGATGTTCCAAGCGACGGACCCAAGCATCCGACCATTATCCTGGACACGCCCATTTTGAGGGTGTGGCACAAGCAGGACAATCAGTTTAACAAGCCCAAGGCGTGCATGCGGTTCGATATGTCCAATCCGCTTGCCTCCCTGGACCCACTCAATTGCAATTTAAATCATATGATGGTTATGCTCTTAAAGGATCAGCTCAACGAGTATCTGTACGATGCGGAATTGGCAAACTTAAAACTGAATGTTGTGGGAAAATCAGGTGGCATTGATGTACGTTCATTTACTTTATTGACCGTTTATTTGACAATTATTTAATTATGAGAAATGCTTTTGGCAGTTCACGATTCATGGTTTCAGTGACAAGCAAGTAGTGTTGCTGGAGAAACTGTTGGATCACTTATTTGACTTTCGCGTGGATGAGAAACGATTCGATATATTGAAGGAGGAATATGTGCGTTCACTGAAAAACTTTAAGGCCGAGCAGCCGTATCAGCATTCCATCTACTATTTGGCTTTGTTACTGACAGAAAATGCCTGGGCGAATGTTGAGCTACTGGACGCTATGGAACGTAAGTATCCTAAACGCTTTAAACTGCCTTTTCTAACTGCCTTATTTTCATTCGTTTAGTTGTTACCTACGATAGAGTCAATAACTTTGCCAAAGAGTTCTTCCAACGCCTGCACACAGAGTGCTTTATTTTCGGTAATGTGACCAAGCAGCATGCCACCGAAGTAGCTGGTCGCGTCAACACACGCTTGGAGGCCACCAATGCCTCTAAACTACCCATTCTAGCCCGCCAGATGCTCAAGAAGCGAGAGTATAAGCTTTTAGCTGGTATGCCACATAGATAAAAAGTTTTAAACCTAACTTTGAAACGAATTTTTACTTTGAATAGGCGACAGCTATCTTTTTGAAAAGGAGAACGAGTACCACAAGAGCTCCTGCACGCAGCTTTATCTGCAATGTGGCGCACAAACGGATCACACAAACATTATGGTCAATCTAGTGTCTCAGGTGCTGTCCGAGCCCTGCTACGACTGTCTGCGGACCAAGGAACAGCTCGGGTATATTGTCTTTAGTGGCGTCCGTAAGGTAAACGGTGCCAATGGTATACGCATCATTGTGCAGTCGGCAAAGCATCCGACATTTGTCGAAGATCGTATCGAGAACTTCCTACAGACGTATCTGGTAAGCAATCTACGATATTATTTATATGTTAAATAAATGTTAAGTGTGAAAGTAATTGTTTCCCATAGCAAGCCATTGAGGACATGCCTTTGGATGAATTCGAGCGTCACAAAGAAGCGCTGGCCGTTAAGAAGCTTGAGAAGCCGAAGACCATATTCCAGCAATTCATCCAGTTCTATGGCGAAATAGCCATGCAAACGTATCACTTTGAGCGAGAGGAGGCCGAGGTCGCAATACTCCGCAAGATTTCAAAGTCCGACTTTGTGGATTATTTCAAGGTGACATCCAAGTATTTATATATTTGATTCAACAGCTAAAACAAACATTTAATATTTGCAGAAATTCATAGCTAAGGACGGGGGCGAGCGTCGCGTTCTGTCCGTGCACATTGTGTCCAAGCAAACGGACGAGAATGTGTCTGAGCCTAAGGAGGAAGAGCCACTGGAGATCACAAATATGGAGCGTCACAAGTGCATCAGCGACATTGTAGCCTTCAAGTCGTGCAAGGAACTATATCCGATCGCATTGCCATTCCTCGACATCAAGGCCAAGGGTGCACGCAGTAAACTGTGAGCGACCCCGAAGTTTGTTCAATATAAACTTATAGTACGTGGTTTTGGTCTCTCTTTGATTTAATATCTGAACCGAATAAAATTTTGTTTCTGTCATTCATAAATACAATATGATCTGTATCAACAGCGAGTTCTGCTTGATGTACGTGCTGCCCAGAAGTGCACTGTGCGGTATGGAAAAGCCCGTCTCCAGTTTGGTCAGCTCCTGTGAGCCGAGATCCTTTGCCTTCCGGTGGCTGTAATTCTGATCCAGTATAGAGATTTTGTGCTTAAATGGCGTGTCGTCCGTCCAATGTTTCATCGTCTTGAATATTCCCCCCATATCTAAAACAATGTTCTTCTGATCGCCTGGTAGGACATGGGCATAGCCCAGCTGTAGGTTCAGTAGCTCGCGATTCAAATGATGAAAGGTGCACCTCAGCTGAAGGGATTTGCCTGTAATCAAATAAGCTAAGGCTTACTCATGGTATAATGGGGTTGTTATTGCAAGGCACTCGCCTCTGATGCTAAATATAGGACTATTGACACTGCTCGTCGAAAGGTCTTCAATTCTGTTCGTGAAATTTTCCAACTTCCAGTAGTATGTAAACAATTTAAAGTCCTGGTCAGCCAGCATGGTATTATTGAACTTATTAACCTCCTCATCTCGCACTCCCTGCAAGGCGTTATGGTTCGTCGCCAGCTCCTTCAGTATGGGCATCTTTTTTGTGCTAGCCTTTGTCTCCATCGCCTTTAGGATTTCATCTAGTTTGACATTATTGGGAGGGGTATTCCTTTGCGTCACTGGTGGTGGAGGAGGGGCAGCGCTTATTTCTACCGAATTGGCCATTGCCACTTGCTCCAATAGCCATTTTATTTCACGAAGCTCCGCGTAAAGTTTGGTCTCTAGGTTTTTGAAGGCCAAGTTCATTTCGTCTAGATCAAGAAAAAAAATGTTAAGTGCCATCTGATCGATTCGGTTTGCATATCCTACCCGATCCACAGACTCCCTTTAGGGTCTTTGTAGTAACAGCTTCGGCAGACGCTTTGATCTCACCAGCAGTCACAGTGCATACCGCTTTTTGGACCTCACTGGGATGTTCTTGGATGGGCTCTGTATCGCTGATGGTGCTGTTGACGGCATTGTCAATGTCGTCCACCTGGGCCAAACCTGTGGAAAACAGCGTGGCACATGCCATACACAAGATCCAACCCAATGCGAGACCTTTCGAAGGTAACGACTCGGCCTTAGGCATCACTAGTCAGTCCGTTGTGGCGGAGGCCTTAGCCAGAACTGTAGAAGAGATGACGGAAAACGATGACCAGGGAAAAGAGAGCACTCTACCTTGAGCCACTCGTTAGAACGATGACAGATGTTCCACATGGAATTATTGCTGTATGCGTGTCATACATTCTTGAACGTAGGTACTACTTTTAGAATGGGACCCTCCCACCGAGCTCTAAAAATAGTGCTAATATTTACACACAACAAACAAAAATGAAAAGAAATATGAATGAATGGAACACTTTTGCACACAATATTGCCATCCCCTGATATACGACTCTGTTCTATGTTCTACTGAACCCAGGACGACTTTGTTCGCGTGCAATTTTTTAAGTGGATTAATGGCATGACCGAAAATAGAATCATTTTCCTTTCTGATCTGATCCAATTGATGCAGGAATTTGTTGAAATTTGTTTGAAATATTTGTTGTCTCCAAATATCTTATATAATGTAGTAAGGAGTAAGGATTTGTGTTTAGAGATATTATTCTTCTCTGTTAATCCTTCCATTATACAGTAGTGTAGCAGTTCGACCCAATAAGAGAAGATTCCCGACTTGAATCACTTAACTTGAAACTATTTTTGTAGTTTTTTTTTATTTGTATTCAGTATTCACTCTTTCTCTGACTGTGAGGTTCTCCAGTCCATGCATTTTATACCATAATTTGACTTTAAAATTTAATTTTGATAGACTTCTGGTACTTTGAATAATCATATTATCATTGAGGCGGCCACCCTTCCCGCGGGGGATACTCTTTTGCAAGAAACATTTGGAATGTGTGTATGTGTGTGTGGGGCGGGGTGGGGGTGTAAATACTCGTAATTAACATTTTTTTTTACAATATAAATCGGATTAAATTGTTTGTTTTCATTTTTTCGTAATTTTTCTTTCTTCTTTTTTGTAGCTGTTTTTGTATATATATTTTATGCTTTGTCTTTTTATTTAATAGTAAAGAGGGTGATTGGGGGAGGGACACTTATACAGACTAACATTATTGTTATTTTGAATACACACATAATTATACAGAATACAAAATTTAATTATTTCTTTAAAAATATGTGTTCATCAGAGTACAGTTTTATGCATAACTTGCGATTACTTTTTATTGATTAAATCCCATCGCCTTTAGGCATTTGTTTTTGGGAGGGGCGATGCACAGAGGAATATCGCATAAAAATAACAATTATAAAAAGGTTCTCTCTCATATACATAATAGATATACTTTTTGACTTTATAGGTATCAGTATATGGTGTACATATATATATATATTCCAAGCATTTAATAGTTATAGTAGGGGGAGGGGTATCTCTCCCTTTCTTATAGTTTGTAAAACGTTCACAACTTTTTACAATTGTCGGCAATGTGTAATAAATATATATATATATATATGCATATGCAGTTTGGACTCTTTGTTAGGATTTTATTTGGATTCTGTGTCGCTATCTGTCTCTATCTCTGTCTCTGCGTGTCTCTGTGTGTGGTTGTGTTGGCGCCTAGTTAAAAGTACATACGAAATAACACTAAACTAGCAAAAATGATTATAATACAAAAGCAAACGAACAAATAAGTACACGATCTGCTGGCGGTGCTGTTCCACGTGAATGCAATGAGGTTGCTGTTGCGGTTGTTCTGCTGTTGTTGTTGATGTTGTTGTTGTGATGTAGTGTGAAATCGTTGTTCCTGCTGCTGTTGCTCTTCTTCCTGGCGCTGCTGAAACTGCTGCTGCACCTCCTGCCAAAGCCACTCGCCATCATCCCCGTTTCCGGTGTTATTAATCAACACCCGCGAAGCCTTGACTGCCCTCAATGGCCTTGATCAGCTTGTCCTTTAGCTGCAGGTAGCCCTCGTAGGGCGGTAGGTCCAGGCGATTAAAGCTGCAAAGGTAAGGGAATGAATTACTTCTCCGTGAAAGGAATAAATCTATTCATATCTCACCAAGTGTGTGCCCGTGGAAAGTTGTTGGGTGTGCCCCACTTCTCGATGGTGAACATCTGTGGGCCATTCGAGCCGTACAGCTCTTTGAAACCGTTCATGGGCACGCGTGAGGTGCCGGTCACGAACTGTAGGAGGCGAGAGCGCATCTCGTTGGAAAAGGAGAGAACGGCACGCCAGAACCATTGGATAATTATGTGATTCATGTGATAGTCGCCCTTGTACAGCGTATTCTCGCGCCAGTCCTTGACATCGATGTTCTGGATGCCGCACATCAGCAGCTCTAGCTCGTGCTCATCGAATATCTTTATCAGATTCAGGGGAATAATCGAGCCAAAGCCGTCGAGGAAGGACGACATTTGTTCCTTGACGCGCGCGACAAAGCGCCATTCAATGACGAGCCTGAAAGGATCACAAGAATTAACAAGGTACAAGAATAACAAAAGGTGCAGTGTCACTCACTTGATGTACTCGTCTTTGTTCTCATTGGTCACGTCTATGTTGGCGCCACCAGGCTTCAGGTCGTGCTGGCTCTTCTGGCCCAGCACATCATCGTCCAGGCAGAATGTCAGCTCCAGAATGCGCGGATCGTTCTCCTTGATCCACATCAAAGAGTTGTAGTACTCCGTGTCCACAGACTCCATGTCCTTCAGGTCGATGGGCTTTTGCAGCATCATCTTGTAGAAAGGACGAATAAAGAAGGCATCCAGCAGCTTGCCATGATATACAGCCATGCCAGCAATCCGTCCAATGAATCTAAGGGTTTGTTTAACAAGTTATTATTCAAAGTTTAGGCCGCAGCTCAAGATTCGATTGGAAAAGGCTCTCACTTGAAGTAACTTAAATGCTCCTCATTGCACAAACCGCTGCCGTTGTTGATTTGCAATGTGTAGTTATCCATCGCCGAGTACTCAAATAGTCCGTAGTATGGATTAAACATTTCTTTGGATAGTAAATAGAACCACTCCCTAGCAAGGCCACCGTAATCTGTCGAAGATCGTTCGTTAGAACAAGCCAGAATATGGCAATTGGAGGCAATGGAGGAATTACTCACCTAAACCAGTCTCTCCCTCAAATTCCACCCACAACTTAGTCTTCAGTAGATCTGTTTTTGTCACCGAACTGATGATTCGGTACGAGTCTTCCAATATGGATGTACGGCGAATGCGTATTTCCAGTTTATTTGGTACGTTTGTCTGTCCAAAAAGAAAAATAACGAAAGTAGATTCATTTTCTGCCATTGATGGAACACTCAAACACTCTGTTAAGATCTTCCGATTCAAATACTTACAGGCTTTCTAATGTGACTCTTGAAATACTCGTATTTCTGTTTGTAATCCCTCGAATAGGGCACCGCCTGTCCGGCAATGTTTGGATTGGACAAACGTGGATCCTCCCACTGTGTGGTGCGTGTATCTGTCAGGAGATGGAAACGACGGATGGGTTTAAGGAGCAGTCCTAGCTTGGTGATTGCAGGGGACTCTTACTGTGATCTATGTAGAATACACGCCCATCCGTATGCACACGCTCCTCCCAGCCCTCCGGCAAGGGTCCCAGGTCGTCCTCGACGCGTCGTGTCTGGTTTGGCATGGGACTGGCCCGTCCATTGCGTGGATCTATCCAGGTGGTGCGACGCGAGGCATGGTCAATGAAGAAAGTGCGGCCGTTGGGCGCCACTTGCATGGACCAGCGCGGTGGCAGTGCCTCCTCCTCGCCGCCAGCATTCTGCAAGACAGAAAAGGTTCACAACGAGAGACATTAGTCGGCTATCCTATGCATCGGCTATGCCATGCTAAGCTATCCAGGGCAGGATGTTGGCTACGAAATAGTTTTCGAGTGCATTTGGGGGTTGAGAAAAGAGCATTGAACTTTACTTGATCCTGTGGTGGCACAGCCGCATTGTCTTCCTCGGAATTGCGTCGGGTGGGCGGAGCTGAGATCTCTGAGGAATTGTGGCTGTCTGTGTGATCGTTGTCTTCGTTCTAGTCATTGATTATTTTATATAGTATATAATGTTGATATATATATATATATATGTATATATATGGATGCATTGCAGTTGCAGTTGCAGTTGCGGTTGATTATGTTCAGTTTTTATTTTGGAAGAAACAGAAGAGAAAAAAGTGTTTGGTCAAATTAAAAACAAATTCCACAAATTGCAGTCGTTTTTGGTTCGTGAGAAAACACTAAGCAGAAACACGGCAAATAGCACATTAAATTATGTTAAACATTGAGTAAAGTGTTAAGCAAATTAAATGCGAAACAAGGTAGAGAAAAGCTGCAAATAAAAGCGCCATGAGGTTTAGTATTCTATTCGTTAGTTGAGTGTAAGAGATGCGGCATGCAGCATGCAACATGCAACCAACACTGAGATGATACGAGTACATACAAGACACAATACGGGTGTACAGCTACAGGCGGCCCATTGCTCATCCATTCCTTGAGAGAACCCATGCCCCATGTGACTTCTAGAGAAACGTGAAGTTTTCGACCCGAAAAAATTAAACTTGACAAATTTTGCGGCGCTATAATGGTTTTTAGTTGATCTATAACAAACAATCGAACAGTCACGACAGATCAAACTACAAGTGGAGTGGAGTGGAGTGAAGTGAAGTGAAGTGGACGGGATGCTATGTGCTGACCAGATGCGGATGTGGCTGCAAGTGCAACTGGAGCTGGAGCTGCTGCTGTTGCTGCTGCTGTTGCTGTTGCTGGCGGCGTCGTTGCTGGCGAAGATCTACTTCGGGCTACAAGTGAAATAAATGCGGATGATCGTATGGAGATGATGCTGGATGAATATGGGAGTGTGGCGGCTGGTGCCTGGAGCGCATGCTAACCAATTGTCTGTTCTGCTGCTGTTGCCGCTGCTGTATATGCAGCTGCATTTGCTGGCGCCGACGCTGCTGCCGCTGCTGCTGCTGCTGCTGCTGCTGTAGGTTATGCTCCTGCTCGTGCCGTCCCAGATTGTAGGCCATGTTGTCGATGGCCCGCCGTGTCAGGATCGTGGTCATGGCA